ATCTTCAAACCGAAAAGGTCCAACTAGCTCATCTTTAATAATACCAGCCCATACCGGTACCCCACCTCCACCTTCCTGGCGTCTGAGACGGGCCCATCTATCTGGTCCTTCCAGAGTCACTCTCATCTCATCAGTCCATAAAACCTTTGAAAAATCTCTTTCTTCAGATATTTCTTGGACCAGTCTTGACATTTCAACTTATGTGTACTGTTGATGCTATATAAATTCTGTATAATAATAATGTGCCTTGTTCAGCTGCGGTCGGGTTTCAGCCTTCCTTACCTTGGCCATGTCTCTGAACACTGAACACCTTGTACTTCTGGGCACTCCAGCAGGGGTGGACTGACAACTCATGGGGCCCCCGGGCAATAGGGGATCATGGGGCCCCTGTGTCCTTGCCCAAACACAAAAAAGCCTATAAAAAAAGTACCAGGGGCATCTCATGGGGCTTCCTACTGACCCCGGGCCAAATGGTCAGTCCGCGTCTGCACTCCAGGTATGTTTCAGTTCTAGAATATGACAGCACTGGAGGATAATGGGTTCTGGTAGCTTCACGTTTGATGCTTCTCAAATCTTTAGCAGTTAATTTGCGTCTTTTTTTCTCAAAACGTTTCTTGTGACCCTGTTGACTATTTTGCCTGAGAAAAAGAGAATCTGCCTAATAATTATGCACACCTTGATATACAGTTGCAAGAAAAAGTATGTGAACCCCTTGGGATTACGTGGAGTTTTGCATGAATTGGGCATAAAATGTGCTCTGAACGTCATCTAAGTCACAACAATAGAAGAACACAGTCTGCTGAACATAATACTACACAAACATTAGATGTTGCCATGGTTTAATTGCAGATAACATGTAAACATTCACAGTGCAGGGAGGAAAAAGTATGTGAACCTTTGGACTTAATAACTGGTTGACCCTCCTTTGGCAGCAATAACCTCAACCAAACGTTTCCTGTAGTTGCAGATCAGACCTGCACAATGATCTGGAGTAATTTTGGACCACTCCTCTTCACAAAACTGTTTCAGTGTAGCAATATTCTTGGGATGTCTGGTGTGAATCGCTCTCTTAAGGTCATGCCACAGCATTTCAATCGGGTTGCGGTCAGGACTCTGACTGGGCCACTCCAGAAGGCGTATTCTGTGCTGCTGCAGCCATTGTTTTGTTGAATTACTTGTATGCTTTGGGTCATTGTCCTGTTGCATCACCCATCCTCTGCGGAGCTTCAGTTGGCGGACAGATGGTCGTACGTTTTCCTGCAAAATGTCTTGATAAACTCTGGAATTCATTTTCCCATCAATGACAACAATTCGTCCAGGCCCTGAGGCAGCAAAGCAGCCCCAAACCATGATGCTCCCTCCACCGTGTTTTACAGTGGGGATGAGGTTTTGATGTTGGTGTGCTGTGCCTTTTTTTCTTCACACATAGTGTTGTGTGTTCTTCCCAAACAACTCAATCTTGGTTTCATCTGTCCACAGTATATTTTGCCAGTAGTGCTGTGGAACATCCAGGTGCTCTTTTGCAGACTTCAAACGTGCTGCAATATTCTTTTTGGACAGCAATGGCTTCCTCCGTGGTGTCCTCCCATGTACTCCATTCTTTTTAGTGTTTTCCTTATTGTAGATGTGTCAACAAAAATGTTAGCATGTGCCAGAGATTTCTGTAGGTCTTTAGCTGACACTCTGGGATTCTTCTTTACCTCATGCAGCATTCTGCACTGTGCTCTTGCAGTCATTTTTACAGGACGACCACGCCTAGGGAGAGTAGCAACAGTGCTAAACTTTCTCCATTTGTAGACAGTCTGTCTTACCGTGGACACATGAACATCAAGGCTTTTGGAGATACTTTTGTAACCCTTTCCAGCTTCTTGCAAGTCAACAATTCTTGATCGTAGGTCTTCTGAGAGCTCTTTTCTGTGAGGCATGGTTCACATCAGACAGTGCTTCTTGAAACCAGTAAACCCAAAACAGGCGTGTGTTTTTTTAAGGGCAGGACAGCTGTCAGCAACACATCCAATATCATCACACTATTTTTAGTCAAGGTTGGCTCACTCCTGGCTCCAATTAGCTCTGGGAGAAGTCATTAAGCTAGGGCCTCACATACTTTTTCCTCTCTGCACTGTGAATGTTTACATGTTATGTGCAATTAAACCATGGCAACATCTAATGTTTGTGTAGTATTATGTTCAGCAGACTGTGTTCTTCTATTGTTGTGACTTAGATGACGTTCAGAGCACATTTTATGCCCAATTCATGCAAAACTCCACGTAATCCCAAGGAGTTCACATACTTTTTCTTGCAACTGTAGGGTGTTGATCTCTTTAGGCCACACACTCCCTCATTACACAAACACACATCACCTGATATGCTTAAATCCAATAAGTATTCAAGTTTATACAGCCGGGAATTGGACAATATGCATAAAAATGATGATTTGGTCAAAATACTCACTTGCCTAATAATTATGCACACAGTGTACATACATTTCAGCTATGTACTGACATACACTTTAAGGTGGAACTTCACTCACTCAATCAAGATTGACTAATTTTAATCCTTATGCTGCTAGCATTAGTAAACGGATAGAAAAGTTTATCATATTTGCTTGTTTTACACCTTTTGGTTTTTTTTTTACATTTCTTCAGTTACTTACTCGTTTCTGGCTTTGGCAAATGATGTCACATATCCCAAGAGTATTCATTAGGGGAAGAGGGGCTTTCTAAATTAAGCACAGCTTCTTCTGCTTGCATGCCTGAGCTAAGGGCATATGGATTCCAGGAAGTAAATGCTAGGTTAATCATCTGCCCTTACTCAAGATGGCCACGACCAGAAATGCTAGGGGATATTTTTCAAAATGATTTCTCAACAAAATAAAGCATGGAGACATGGATGGATGGGGGAGTTTGCTTTGAATAATATTTGCTTGAGGTCAGGGGCGGACTGACAACTCATGGGGCCCCGAGCAATAGGGGATCATGGGGCCCCTGTGTCCTTGCCCAAACTCAAAAAAGCCTATGAAAAAGGTATCAGGGGCATCTCATGGGGCCCCCTACTGACCCCGGGCCCTCGGGCAGTGCCCGAGTTTCCAAATGGTCAGTCCCGCCCCTGCTTGAGGTGATTGTAGCCATATTAGTGCATTTGCGACAGAAACAATTGAGTACTGTCCGTGATACTTTTTGTATTTGCACTAACATACAATTTTGAGGACACGCTTTCGGGGTATGTCCCCTTCTTCAAGGTCCAAGCAGTACTCAAGTACTGCTTGGACCTTAAAAAAGGGGACATACCCGAAAGCTTGTCCTCAAAATTGTATGTTAGTGCAAATAAAAAAAGTATCACGGACAGTACTCAATTGTTTCTGTCTTTGAATAATAAAAATGGATTAAATAGTCATTTTTGTGCTCAGATGAAGTATATTTCCATTTTAACAGTTAAGGCCAGTTTTAATGCCAATGTCAATGCCTAGTACACATGGTTAGCTATTGATTTGTTTTATTTACACCATTAGTCTGTATTACCCATTCTGCACATCATTCTGGTATACTCACATCACTTTGCAGCTCCTGGCTCTTTTTGGCATGCTTGACGCCTGGGGTGTCCGCAATGCTGGTAAATTTTAAGGTGTCAGCTTTCTGACGATACTTTTTCTGAAAAAAAATAAGAACGCTTAAAGCCTAATTGACAAAATGCTTAAAAGACCATATATTGCTGCAGAGACTACTCCCAAAATGGGGGAGGGGAGGAACAAATGAAAAACTAAAGAGGTACTCGTCCCCAACACCTCTACAACTTCCCAAATCACCTTCAATCAGACTGCTTAAACTTAAGAGCCTATATAATCTTATTACTAATATATATGATGTATTGCTGATACCTATGTGCCATCACTGTGGTTATCTAGTTGGTAATGGGAGATCACCCATGTATCCAATTCTTCAGGAGTTACATGACATATACACTCACCGGCCACTTTATTAGGTACATCTGTTCAATTGCTTGGAAACACAAATTGCTAATCAGCCAATCACATGGCAGCAACTCAAGACGACTTGCTGAAGTTCAAACCGAGCATCAGAATGGGGAAGAAAAGGGATTTAAGTGACTTTGAACGTGGCATGGTTGTTGGTACCAGACGGGCTGGTCTGAGTATTTCAAAAACTGCTGATCTGCTGGGATTTTCACGCACAACCATCTCTAGGGCTTACAGAGTATGGTCCGAAAAAGAGAAAATATTCGGTGAGCGGCAGTTGAGTTGTGAGGAAATGCCTTGTTGATGTCAGAGGTCAGAGAAGAATGGGCAGACTGGTTGCAGATGATAGGCAACAGTAACTCATGTCAATATGGAGCAAAATCTCTAAGGATTGTTTCCAACACCTTGTAGAATCTATGCCATGTAGAATTAAAGCGGAGTTCCAGTTGATTTAAAAAAAAAATAAAAGACAGCAGCTACAAAAACTGTAGCTGCTGAACTTTAAAATACAGACACTTACCTGTCCCTCGGTCCAGCGGTGTCCTCACCTTGGTTGGTTTCACCAGCCGTCTTCTCTCCCTGGTGTTGGAATCTTCAGTGTGGGCACTTGGCTGCAGGGTGCCTACATATTTTTCCATATATTTTGTAATAAAAACACATTTCAACATGCAATATATATATTGAAATATATTGATATTAATATTAATTAATCTGGCCAAAATTGTAGCATTTCAAATATATGGCAATATATTTGGGAAGAATATTTTTTAACTATATTTCAAAAATATTTTTCGTCCATATGGGTATTTTTACACACTTTTACATTGTTTTTCATTTAACTTTATTGTTATCACAAGGGGGCACACAAGCCAAATAAACAGAACAGTTATTTGGAAAGATGCCGGATGTAACTTTTTGTGTCTGTACCTAACCACAGTAGTTATTATTAATTTGGAACCACCAATCAATATTTGGATAGGAGTTCCTATCTATATAGTTTCCAAGACAATACTGAGAGTGTCCAGCTCACCTCACTAACGAGTTCCCCAGCCTTCTTAGCCTGTTCCACGTTTACACTTCCCTCTGTCATCCATCCGACTCCTTTCATCCACGTCAGATCAGATTTGTATTGACGCTGCAGCAAATAATTAATTGAATGTTATTGTTACATTAAAAAATAGAACTTCATTTTTTTAAAAGTATTTTTGTTTGGAAGTATTCCATAAATGATAAGAACTACAGAAAAAAAATGTAATAATATATGACAATATATGCTCCACAAATACAATTCAGTTATTCACTGTTTGGCCTCTTTGGGGTGCTGCTAGTTGTCTTGTCTTGCTTTGAAAACCCACATATCAAAGTGCTTGGTGTCGCTCCTCTTATTATTGTTACATGCTGCCGCCCCGCAAATACCCAAGCAGGGTGCACCTTTGCAGAGCTGTGATTTAATTACTTCAAAGTGAAACACCTCTTTAAAGTCAGGTTTCCATTATTCTGTCTCCCTCCTCTAAATTTTGGAAAAGTACTGTAATTTACCAGTCACGTATCTCACCTCACTTTGTAGGTCATAAGCTTTCTTGGCCCATGTCACTTTCATGTCCTCAGGAAGTATGGTGTACTCATGTAGTTTAGTGCGATAATCCAGTTCACTAGCAAGTGATTGGGCCTTCTTGGCATGAGTGATGTTGACCATGTCCATCGGTAGGTGGAACTGAGCCTTACTCTCCTCAAAGCCTTTCTTGTAGGATATCTACAACGTAAATCAGAAACAAATGCATCAATATCAGCGATATATTAAACTCTACATAAGCATTGGGACCGTTGCTCTACCTCGCTACTCAGTTTCCCGACTTGCATGGAGTGAAGGAGTCTGGAGTCACTGGTTGCCGCTGCTTTGCCCTTACTTTTTTCATATTCTTCTTTGTATTTGATCTGTGGTGGAGAAGACAGAGATGGGAAGTTTTACACCACTTCTGCTGTAACATCCAAACTTTTAGCATGAACCAAAAAGTCTAGTAAGTGTGGGTACATGGGCCACAAACTAAAATGTCAAACTTTTTAACTCTTTGGATAGAGTGGGTAGGCATTAGATTAGGTTGTTGACTATGATCCAGAGAAGGAGATAAAAAAACTCAACAGCAATGCCCCAAATGCCACCAGGGCAGAAAGCTAGGGGATGTGATATAAACCCAACAGAGGACCAAACACTTTCCTGTTCTCTCAAAAATCTAAAAAGAGTTTGGCACAAGTTACACTGGGCTAGTACACTCTTAATATAATAAGGTTGATAAAAGATTCCTATCAAATAGCTCATGGCTTGCCTATAAACTGGCCAGGGTTGGGTGATCATTGGCTCCTTGCATACCTTTGGAGCAGTATATGTAAGGAAAATCTTTTCCTGTCTGTACCTGCCTTGCTATGCTACTGGGCTTGATGGCAGTAACACATACCAGCAAAGCTGTATTTAGCATGGTCATGCAGATGATGTTGGAAGATCCTCCACCATCGTCCTGTACAATGGCTGTGATATAATTATACTTGCTAAGCATGTATGTTTATGTTTATATCCTCAGCAGCCATCCCTGGAGCAAATCAGTTGGTAAGGAAAATCCATTTTGAGCCACTGTTATTTCCCTGACATTAATAAGTCAGAGATGTCCGTAGAGATCACTGACACTCTGCAGATATATTATCATTGCCCAATTGAACCATTACTGGATAGATCTGGGAATGATCATTTCTACAGTCATAAAGAGATTTTCATCTCCAACATTCACTTACATCACTTGCAAGGTCTCCTGAAGCTTTGGCAGAGGCGATGGACAGAGAATCCATTTTCATCTCGAACTTCTGACCTTTAGTCTTCTGCCATTCTTCCTTGTACTTGTTCTACAAAGGAGGATAAAACAAGCAGAATTGGTGTCATCACAACCTTCCCAACCACGTTGACTGTCAAAGACTGTCATTTCAAGCTTGATATATAAATGTCTCATATCCATGTGATTATTGCTAGAGATGAGAAAAATATAGTTATTTCCTTGCCAAAATTTCAGCTATATAAAAAATATTTGGCAAGATGTTTGGCATTTTCCTAAATGCAATAGAGTCAGCAAGGAAGCTGAAATTAAGGTGGTTTTGGTGTTTTCAAGGGTGTAGTGAGTTTTTTAAATCACTCTTGAGGATTACAAAAGCTCCTTTCACCTATCCTGGACCTGAATTCTTCAAAAAATTAGGGTTTTTTTAACTGCACATGGAGTACAGCTAGAAAGCATTATGGTGGAAGCTCTTGATCACCATTGATCAGTCCTGGCATGGGTGATCACATGGCCTTGTTAATAAACAAAGAAAGGTTAGTGACATAGTTGTGTTAAACAAAACACAGCAAAGGAGACATTGTTATAGATACATTTTAAAGATAAATTCATTCAGCAGTGCCATATGATAAAATTAGAGACTAATTTTGGAAAGACTTTGCAAACGTTGAATCATTCATTCCAGGTTCCCCTTTATTGCCCATTCCTCATCCTTATTTATTTTCACTGCGACCATATAGGTGACATTTCTTCCCCTCATACCACAAGTATAAGAGGCCGCAAAGGTATTCTGGAAGGGAAATGACTTAACTACTTCAGCCTTAGTACCTGTATACCCCTTTTGGGCAAGGGCATTTTTTACATTTGACATTTCTACTATAAGCCTGTTTACTCTATAACAGCCTTGTCATTGCTTAAATATAATAAAATAATACATAAATTGTTTTTTCAGGGGAAAAAATTAGGCTTTCTTTTGACAATATTGTCTTGAAAAAATATTTTATTTACTATGTAATCTATAGACAAAAATATATAAAAAAAATAAAATATGCATTTATTGTTAAAAAAGTTTTACCGTATTAAATGTACACATTTTATTCCATAGTATGTCCCATTTAAAATGACACCTAGGCGATGTTTTTGGTTGAAAGCATGTCAAAGTTAATTGCAAATAAAATAAAGACTTTTTTTTTATTTCGAGCATTTTCTTTTTGTGTGACACAGAAAAAATATCAAAATTAACAGAAAAAAAAATACATATTAATATTTAAAAAATAGAAATGAAAAAGTAAGCAGAAAAATAATTGCTAAGGGGTGAAGTGGAGAAAGGAGGTGATTAGTGCTGATTAGTCTTACAGTGGTAGTAAACCTGACGTAAAAAAAAAAAAAACATTCTCTCTGTAAGGTAATGTAATAATGTGCTAGCGTGCATCACATACTAACACATTATAAAAGGCTTCCCTTTGAAAAGAAGCCCTCCTGTAAAAGCTCACAGGGCTCCCATCTTTACCTGATCTTCTGTCCGGGTTCCTGGTTTCGGCCACTTTAATGGCCTGGCCGCGATGATGTCACTGCCGTGCATGTGCGTGGGAGTCTCAGTCATGGTGCAGAGCTCTGAAGGAACGGCACGGGTATGCTGCTCCTTCAGAGCGCATGCGCCAGTGTTGTCACCGGCTGCAAAGATACTGAATTTCACCTAAATAGTGCACATTTAGGAGATATTCCTTGTACCTACAGGCAGTGGTGTATTTAGGTTTTGTGCTGCCCAAGGCAACACAAAAATCATCTGCTCCAACGGACACCAACTAACACCCCCCCCTTCCCCCTCCTGCGGAGAGAGTCCCCTCCTTCCCGGCGATAGAAAGAAAGACACTCCTCTTCAAAGCTCCAGGCATCCCTGTGAAGGGAGTCAGGCTCTACGTACACCATCAAGCAGCCTGCAGCCTCTCTTGGATCCCACCTGGTTCCCATGGCACATGTGTCCCTTCTTTCATCCCTTCTTCTGAGGGGAGGTGCTGCCCCCCTGAAAAATGCCTCCCTAGGCAAGTGCCTTGTTTGCCTTGTGGTAAATACGCCCCTGCCTACAGGTAAGATTTATTATAAGTATCCAATGGGAGTTCACTACCACTTTAACCAAGGGGTCAATAAGGGGGTAAATATTTGATTTGTAAGGATTCTTTAACTGATGTCATATGCAGATCAGTGGTTAAACTTCAATCTATAAATGATCAAAACAATATTGTTGAATTGTATTTACTCAACGACACTTGCAGACTATCTGCAAGTGTCATTTTATACAGGGACAGCTGCATTTTGACAGCATAACATTTGGCTGTGTAATACAAGGCAATCCCAGCTTGCTTGTGACATTTGGACATTTTATCAAGGGGAGTGGTGGTTGGGCAAAAGGATATGGATGTAAGAGATGCATAAAATGTTGTTGAAGTTTTTTATGACATATGCTTCTGTTTTAACCTCCTTGGCGGTATGATTCTTTCCGATTTTTTGTGCTGAAAACGGTACCATTTTTTTGCATGGAAATATGTAGTTTTTTATTGTAGGCCTGTAATTTTTAGGAATAACTCACTGAAATCTGTCCGAACAAGAGTCTAGTAAACATCCCGGGTAGGATAAAATTTGAAACACGAAATCATAAATTATAATTTAATAAATAATCATAAAAAATAATAATATAATAATAATAAATGTAATTCAATAATATAATCAAACCAAAAACACTGAAATTTGAAATACAGAGGCAAATTCGCACATCGCTGAGCAAGTCACAAAATCGTTTTCAGTGTCTGATGACGAATTTTCCCACAAATCATTATCACTCAATTCTGCAAGTGGTTCTGATTTACTATCGCTGTTCTCTAGCTGATCTAAACCCGCTTTTGACATAAAGGGACGCTTTTTGAACGCCATGGACTTTTCTCAGTTTCCAGGCAGAAAGAACATTCAAAATGCAGGCAGGGCGCAGGACAAAGCAGTAGGGAACAAATATATGTGAAATGCATTGAAACAGCAATGACAGCAAAAATGAAATTTTTTAAAAAAATTCAAATTTCCCGCCGGTTCCGGCGCCCGTACATCCCGACGTCACAGGGACTGGAACACAGAAGCTGGATGCCGGCATCGGGCGGAGGAGATGGCCGGGGACGCTGCAGGGGACACATCGCGGGAGCGAAGGACAAGGTAAGTGCTGCAGGGACCCCCAGAGCAACGCCGCATGGTAAGCCCGAGTGTAGCTCGGGGTTACCGCTCTTGGTATAGAAATTTTACCCCGAGCTACACTCGGGATTACCGCTACGGAGGTTAAAATCCTCAAGTAGTTAGAGTAACATAGGGACCACAAAAAAAAAATACAAAAGCTAAAAAATAAAAACTGGGAGTTCAAGATATAAGGAGAAAATATACGTATATAGTATGAGAGTCCATATTATCAATCAGAACTTCAGTTTACCTACTATGGTGGCTCTGTCCCCTCCTCAGGCACCACTATTATGGCACATGCACAGATGCCAAGCCTTTGGGTCCTGGCACAGCCCATCAGCATGTCTGTGCACACAGGCGATTTTCTGCACAGATGCAAAGACAGAGGAGGTTTTGGATCAACCTGGTAGCAGTGTTTGCGCCTGTTCAGGAAACTCCACAACTGTACAGATGGCCAGGGAATCCAGTGCAGATGTGCTGCAGGGCTTTCTCATGAACTGAGCCCTGCGGCAAATGTGCGCATGCGCAGAGGGTGGGGAGAAATTCTCACTTAAAGCTCTTGAAAAAGAAATCAATTTATATGAGAGGGAGGGAGGGTTGAGGCAGGGCAGTATTACATGTCCTTTAGGGCAAAGATCAGCTTTAAGGTAAAAAAAAATAGCTTGAGTACATTTCTGTACATCATATCAGTTCCAGTACTTACCTCACTGTAAAGTTCAGCGTTGGCTTTTGCTTTTTTTATTTCCGGTACATCCTGAGGAAGTGTATAATGCATTTTGGATTTTTCATACTCTGCTCTATAATTCAACTGAAAAGAAAAACAAAAGACAAAAAAAATTTAATTTGTTACCTCAACATTTCATATTCCTGATATGTGCCTGCTGTACCACATATGTGTGTTAAAAAGTATTTTGTCTGATGTATTGCATATCTGGTGGTCATGCTCGAGGCTGCTTCATTTTTGGTCTTGTGTGTTTGGCCTCCTTGTTCCATCTCTCTATACGACGGGATGCTTGGTATGCTTTGCTTCATTGTCCCATACCGGGCCTCTTGGCTCACCAGCAAAAGTTGTCTTCCTATTTGTTTTTGTCGGCCTCTAGAACAACAATTGCTCAGGCCTGGAAGAGCCCGTTTGTCCCTCTTCAGGGGATGCGGGATCGTATGACCTCTATGATGCTCAATGAACAGATGTCGAGTATCTGCAACGACTCCCAATGTAAATTCTTGAAAATATGGGAGCCGTGGTTGCAATATACCTTTCCCACGCTCCCCCCGGCTAGCCTGGGGATGTGATGTTGTTCGACTTTGTCGTTCTTGGATCCCTGCTCTTGGTTTGGCTATCCTTTTTTCGTTTGACTTCTCCTTCCTTTCCCCCCTTTTTTTCTCTGTTTGCTTTGGTGTGGCAGTGGATAGTCTGAGTTATTATCAGTGTTATATTTATGTTTTGCTATTTAAGTGCCATTGATGGCCCCTGCATGGGCATATCTTTTGCCCTGTTGGTGTTAGAGAACTGATTTCTCTAATTTCTAGTTCCTCTATGTGCAATTGATAGCCCCTGCGTGGGCGTGATTTGTTGCTCCTGTGTTAATTGTTATAAATGAATAAAAAAACCATTGAAATACAAAAAGTATCTTGTCCTCTTTGTATAGCTTCCTTGATGTGAAATACAGTCCCTCTGTTTTCCTATTTCAAACTGCCCATGCGGTCAGTGTGGTCACTTTTCTGACTGTGCTGAGAGACCAGCCTGCCTTTTCTCCAATGATCAGACTTGTGTACCCCCTGAACAGCCATTCACTGGGGAAGATCAGTGTACTGCTGTTTCTCCATCCCCAGCTCTCTAAGCCCCTTATGCAAGTACAAAGGTCACAAAAAAAAAGAAAAAAGGTATTTATATTAAATATAAATATATATATATATATATATATATTTATACATATACACACATACATACAAAGAAAACCCCTTCCCATTTCCCATTTCTTTACACAAGAAAGGTGAAGGCTACAAGAAGATCGGCAAAGCTTTACTTATCAGTCAGAATGCTGTAGCAAAAGTGATACAAACATTTAACAAAGATGGAACTGCAACCATCTCACAGAGACGCCAAAGCCATCCACAGAAGTTAACACCTTGACAGGAGTGTTTTCTGATAAGAAGGGTTGAAGAAATTCACCATGCAAGTTCACTGCAGTTAGCTAAAGCAGTAGAAAGCCAAACTGGGGTGATTGTTTCCCGTGATACAATACAGCATACACTGCAGAGAAATGGCATGCATGGGTGTCATCCACGAAGGAAGCCTCTCCTAAGGCTCATGCACAAAAAAGCCTGTCTAGAATTTTCCAGGGCCCATGCTGAAAAAAGTAGAAGACTACTGGGACTCTGTACTCTGGAGTGATAAGACCAACATAAATGTATTTGGAACTGATGGCTTCAAACTGTATGGCGTCGCAAAGGTGAGAAGTACAAAGAAAAATGCATGGTGCCTACAGTGAAACATGGTGGTGGCAGTGTCCTTCTGTGGGGCTTCATGAGTGCTGCTGGTGTCAGTGAGCTGCATTTCATTGATGGTATCATGAATTCACAGATGTACTGCTCTATATTGAAAGAGAAGATGCTGCCATCGCTCCATGCCCTTGGTCGTTGTGAAAAATATAGATATTGTAATATGTCGCCAACTTGTTCATTCCATTCCTAGAAGACTTGGTGCTGTCCTTACAAATCATGGAGGTAATACAAAATACTGGATGGAGTAGTTTTTGTTGTGGGGTGTATTCATTTTTCCATCAACTAATTTGAGTAAAACTGAAGATTTTGTAATCCAAGTTAAATTATTATCCTTACTTTCATGTAATGAGCTAAACAAATGTTCTATAAAACTTAGTTTTATAGAAATTTTGGAAATTGTTCTTGTATTTATTGAGATATTAATTAAAATCTTACTTTTCAAAAGGAGTGTACGCATTTATGCTGAGCAATGTGTGTGTGTGTGTATATATATATATATATATATATATTGTATATATATATATATATACACATACATACATACATAAACACACACTACATTGCCAAAAGTATTGGCACACCCCTCCAAATCATTGGATTTAGGTGTGTTAAAATCAAGCACCTAGACATGCAGACTGCTTCTGCAAACATTTGTGAAAGAATGGGTCGCTGTCAGGAGCTCAGTGACTCCAAGCGTGGTCCCGTGATAGGTTGCCACCTGTGCAATAAGTCCATCCGTGACATTTCCTGGCTACTAAATATTCCACGCTCAACTGTTAGTGGTAATAACACAAAGTGGAAGCAACTGGGAACAACAGCAACTCAGCCACCAAGTGGTAGGCCATGTAAAATGACAGAGCGGGGTCAACACACGCTAAAGCGCACAGTGAGAAGAAGTCACCAACTGTCTGCAGAGTCAATAGCTAAAGACCTCTAAACTTCATGTGGCCTTCAGATTAGCACAACAACAGTGCATAGAGAGCTTCATGGAATGGGTTTCCATGGCTGAGCAGCTGCATCCAAGCCTTACATTACCAAGTGCAATGCAAAGTGTCAGATGCAGTGGTGCAAAGCACATCGCCACTGGACTCTAGAGCAGTGGAGACGTCTTCTCTGGAGTGATGAATCACACTTCTCTGTCTTTCAATCCAATGGACGTGTCTGGGATTGGTGGTTTCCTGACTGCATTGTGCCAAGTATAAAGTTTGGTGGAGGGGGATTATGGTGTGGGGTTGTTTTTCAGGGGTTGGGCTTGGCCCCTTAGTCCCAGTGAAGGGAACTCTTGAGGCATCAGCATACCAAGACATTTTGGACAATTTCATGTTCCCAATGTTGTGGGAACAGTTTGGGGATGGCCCTTTTCTGTTCCAACATGACTGCGCACCAGTGCACAAAGCAAGGTCCATAAAGACATGGATGAGCCAGTTTGGGGTGGAGGAACTTGACTGGCCTGCACAGAGTCCTGACCTCAACCTGATGGAACACCTTTGGGGTGAATTAGAGCAGAGACTGCGAGCCAGACCTTCTCGTCCAACATCAGTGCCTGACCTCACAAATGTGCTTCTGGAAGAATGGTCAAACCTTCCCATAGACACCCTCCTAAACCTTGTGGACGGCCTTCCCAGAAGAGTTGAAGCTGTTATAGCTGCAAAGGGCGGGGCCAACTCAATATTGAACCCTACAGACTAAGACTGGGGTGCTATTAAAGTTCATGTGCCAATACTTTTGGCAATATAGTGTGTTTGTATATATATATATATATATATATATATATATATATATATATATATATATATAATATATATATGTATTCATATACATACACACACACGCTGTACCAAAAGTAATGCAAAAGTGGGCATAACTGTTTTATTAACTTACATAGGTTGTTCAAATGTCACATGTTGGTTGAGTAACTCTTCCTCTATAGTAACTCTTCTTCTTTTTCATTGCAGGTACATAATGGATTCCAAGCAGAAGCAATGCCCCATTTTTAAGTTCTTGATGAAGGAGGGTTGAAGACTACAGAATGTTTACGGGAATGGCACCATTGACAAGAGTCACTAATGAAAGACATTGCTCTTGTCAATGGTTTAATTTCCATAAACATTCTGTCACTTTCTGTGGATGTCGGACAGCCTGGACCCCTCTTTCATCAAGAGACTGCACATTGCTTCTGCTTGGAATCCATTATTTACCTGCAATGAAAAGGAAGAAGAGTTACTGTAGAGGAAGAGTTACTCTACCAACATGAACATGAAATTGGAACAACCTATGCAAATTAACAAAAAAGTTATGCACACTTTTGCATTACTTTCAGCACATCCTGTGCGTGCGTGAGTGTGCGTGTGCGTGCGCGTGCACGTGCGTACGTGTGTCTAACATAATCACCCCAAATTGTATCACTATAGACTTGTAAGCGGTGAGATCTACTGTGGGTGGCCCATGTCCATCTTTCATCCTTAACCCCTCCAGCAATTTGCACTTGGCATTATCAGCCCTGCGCACAGAACGCGAGGGATTTAGAGTGGGGATCTGCCGCACACCTTATCAGCAGACAACACAACACACCAGCCACTTACGTCGCTCAGCTGCTGGGCATTGACCTTGGCCTGCACAATCTCCGGTGTATCCGTTACAGAGCTGTACTTCAACTTGTCGATGCTCTGACGGTAGTGTACCTGCGGGGAAAAAACGGTCATTTGAACACGGAACACTACTAAAGAGGAATTAAATTGTCTGGCGGACTTTCTAATCTAATTAAACACAACAATTTTTCCTGGACGTGCGGCTCCGTCTCAGCGAGCTTCGCTCTGTTAAAAAAATAATGGATTCAATTAACATTCCTGGCGTTATGGCTTGTGGGGGAAAAAATCTCGTGTCATTCTTCTGCCTCCTATATTTTATATTAATAGCAAAGTTAAGTGGAATGTGACACATTACCTTTCAATTTATTATTATTTTTTACATGAAAAGGAAATATATTTTGGATTTTTATTGTAACATTTACCAGAGTCATCTTGGTGACAAGTCTTCCACTTTTTATTTGTTTGCTGTTCCATATATTAACTAGTTCACCTCTCTATACCCTTTATGGAGCAGAGCAATTTGACATTTCCGCTCTGGGCCTGTTAATTTAGCAAAAACCTAGGATATGACAATCTGGAAACAACAAACATATGGTATGCCTGGGTTAACGTGTGTGTGGGGCCAGCTTGCAGTACGATTTGTAAAAGCATCCGGTGCAGTTTCATTTAGCTGTTCAGTGTGTGTGGTTCCAATGCAAATTGTTAAAGTGTATGACAGTAAAAATCACACCTGATCCGGGCTAAAAATCATACCTTTTTTTTAAATCACACTGTAGCAGACTCGCATATACTGTGACCATAGAAAACGATTTTGGTGCATATGTCATGCAAATCGAATGCGGTTCAAAATGTATCCAATTCACCTATATGTGAACTGGGTCTTATACACATAGTAAAGTTTATAACAAAGTAATACATTTATTATATATATATATATATATATATATATATATTTTATATATATATGTTTTATGATTATAATATATGTTTTATAATTATATATATTATAATATTATATATATATATATATATATATATATATATATATAATAAATGTATTACTTTGTTATAAACTTTACTATGTGTATAAGACCCAGTTCACATATAGGTGAATTGGATACATTTTGAACCGCATTCGATTTGCATGACATATGCACCAAAATCCTTTTCTATGGTCACAGTATATGCGAGTCTGCTACACTGTGATATATAAATATAAAAGTAATACACATATATATATATATATATATATATATATATATATATATAGATAGATAAATATATATATATATATACACACATTTAAAATATACACAAACAATATATACATATAATTCAATTTAGGACAAACAAAGCTTTCCTTTTAGTAGTACTGTCCTGCCAACATGATTTTATTTTTTATGCAACCCATAGATGAAATATATAACAAAACTACTTTGATTAATGTTAGTTTAAAAAAATAATGTTACTGAAGGTATAAAGTGTACCTTTTATAGCATTTGTTATATTTAAAAAGACACTACAATTATTTGGATGCTAAAAAAATAATGAACAAAATAAATAAAAATGGAGAGAAGTTTAATATTAAAGTCTAAGTTTAGTTAAAGTGTTACTAAACCCACAACAGTAAAATCAGTCTGTATATGCAGTGAAGCATGCTTGTTATACTCGCTGTGGAACCTAAGGATTCATTTGAATGGGCTGAAATCGCATCAGACCACACCAAAGGTAGTGCATGCACTGTTTTATAAAATGGACAGCAACTGGATCGTATGATATCACTGCACCATGTGACCGTTGCAGGCAAACGCACTGCATTTGGGGTGTAATTAGGTTAATATTGACACCCGCTGCAGATCGCAACTATGTAAATAGTGTGTTTACTGCAGTTTCCTGCACAGTGTTCTGGTGTGAACTAGCCCTTAGTCAGGGATTCCTGACTGACAAGTGAATGTAAAGAAACACCCGCTTATCTTGCAGCTTGCTACAAAGTTACAATGTACAGTCTGATCACTGAGGGGAGAGGAGACTGAGGAAATGCTTTCCCCTTCCTGCAGCAGACTGATCACATCATCTCTGCCTAGACAAAGTCACTGGACTGGAGCTCAAGGACAGCTTTTGCAATGGTAAAAAGTGGAAAGTAATACTGTTCCTGTATACTGCAACATGTCAGAAAATATTACATAAACCACTGAAAATAATACATGATTCCGACTAATTCTGCATTTCTTTCTCTGGAATCTCTAATAATATTATCATTTTGGAAAGTGTCATTTATACAGAATCATTAAGAGCAGATATGTGCTGGGACTTACATCCTTCAATGGCTCCAGCTTCTTGGTGGTCTGGTAAGATGGGGTGAGCGTAGCTGGGTAATAATATTCACCGTCAGTGATGTCATCCTTGTCTGACTTATAGGACAACTGCAGGACACACAGATTACAGTCACTCACATAGCTTTCAATAGAAATGAACAGATACGTGTGGCACATGCCAATACTGGAGAGTCATTTGTTGCATTATGATATGTTTTGCTTAAACAGGCACAAGCTCAAAGCTGCAAATGCAGCCATCCTTTCCATAATAGGTATGTTTTGTTTTTTGGGTTTTTTTAGAATTAGCATAAACATTTAAAGGGTTGGATGATTGTGCTAAAGGGTTGTTGAAGTGCTTTATTATGCTCCAGCAGAGACTCCATAAACGCCAATTATCATAATTATATTTATACTTCCAGATGATAAGATTCCACATCTTGACAAACAACATATTACTAAACAGAATGAATTTAAGGTTTGATAGACACCAAATATGATATCAATCCTATGTATGCTTCTCTTGGGAGATATAATGTGTCCCATCAGCTTTATGAAACTTGTGACACAGGAATGTTTGATGTCTATTATTATTATTATTATAATATATTTCCCCCTTCCTTTAGATTGTAAGCTCCATGAGCAGGGCCCTCACATTCATTCTGTACTGAAATGTATTGTAATTGTACTGTCTCCCTTATATTGTAAAGCGCTGCGCAAACTGTTGGCGCTATATAAATCCTGTATAGTAATAAAATCCTGTATAATAATTATTATTATACAGGATTTATATAGCGCCAACAGTTTGCTCAGCACTTTACAATATAACGGGAGACAATACAGCAACCTTGAAGCTTACAATCTAGTGGATTGGCATCTTCCTATACATCAGCATGACCACTTTTTATGAAGGGTACAGTAAAAATTAGGAATCTAAATAAAATTTAACTAGATAGTATATCTTTGTCAGTATAGATCACTACCCACAGTCTGACAGATGTGTATTTTTCCAACTATTCTCCAGACATGGCATTTACAACATGACTTCATTAGCAGCTGTTTAAAGATTGGGGTTTTAAAACAGCATAGCTTTGCTTCTAGTTTAGAATGATTGTATAATACTGCTGCATTCCTTCATAGCTTGCTTGTGCTTTTTTTTTTAAAAGGTGCTTCAGTAAATATGTCACCTTGCCTGGCTGCCTAGCACACACATGAGATTTAAATCTGCCCATTTTGTCACTGACTTGTGCATTTTGGGGAAAATGAGCGTGACGCTGTGTCCAGTACCACCCTTCCCCCATTTTTTTCACTGAGCTTGGGGTTCATCAGTCCTTATTATCATCACAGTATCCAAAGTCTAAATAATGACATGGCAAATTAACTATTTTTCTTGAAAACTAAAAAGGACACAGGAAAATCAGGTTTTTAGAAAACTATTGTTACATTCTGTATAGAAAGGGATTCCTTAGGGTAAGAGCAGTTATGTTTTGGAATGCCCTATGGCATACAGTGGAAAAATCACTAGTGGAATTTAAAGTGATTTTTTTTCTAAATAACAAGCATGTCATACTTATTTGCTCTGTGCTATGGTTTGGCACAGAGCAGCCCTGATCCTCCTCTTCTCAGGTCCTCTGATGGCGCTTTTGGCATCTCCTCTTCCATGTGCCACCATAGTAAGCTGCTTCCTATGGTGGCACATGTGCAGGCTCAATCCTGAACCAGGCTGTTTGTGTCTATAGACCCCGCCCCCTGCTCTCTCGTCACTGATTTAATTGACAGCAGCAGGAGCCAATGGCTCCCACAGCTCTCACTGACTCCAGTGAGGAGGCAGATAGAGAGCAGCACCACCTCTATTGGGCACAGTGCTGGATCAAGATCAAGCTTAGGTAAGTGTGACGGGAGTCACTTTGGGTGGGGGGCCCATGAAATCCACCTCACTTTGGAGAAGTGGGGAGACCCCTGTCTCAGCTCCTCATATCCCTCTTATGTGTAAGTCACCCTGTGCCTGTTAGGGGTACAGGGTGATCTGTCCTAATATTGGGGTGGGGGGGTTGTTGATTGTTTGATGTTATGTGGTTGCATCCCATTGTTCTATTGTGTGTCTTGCTTGGTAGCAAACTATTATGGGATGTATGTGTTTATGGGTATTAGCTTAGTGGGGGGGGGGGGTGTCTCCAGCAGCCCTCTCTCCTGATGGGACTGTCTGTTGGTGTGAAGTTTGAATACCTGTGTGTCTCTTGTTGCTAAGTGTAGATTGCCCCGCCCTGTGTCCTTATGCAGGGAGGGGGGATTTGTCCCCTGAGTGTATAATAAGCCAGTTCGAGTTTCAAATAAAGAGTTCCATGTTCAGACAGACTGGTGTCGTCTAGTCTTGTTTGGTCAGCTGTGGTGTCTGTGGTCGGTGTTCGGACTGGGAAGCGGTATGATAACAGAAGTACCCAAGCGCAGACTGGGTGGGTTCCATTACAGTAGGTGTTTGGGGGGCCTGGGGGAAGGAGCTAACAATAGAAAGCATTTTACCTTATAGCAGAGAATGCATTTGGGTAAAAAAAAACTTCAGACTTTACAATCACTTTAATGCCCATCTCTGTGCCTCCATGGGAGCTAATCAGAACTCTACTGCATTGCACATGTGAACATGCTATCATTTGGAGTCAGCAGAGTGATGACTCATCATCAGTGTGCAGCTCTACTGTCCAAGCTGTGATCCTGCTGGTCTAGGATCTGGCTGTGTTGTCTGCCAGGAATGCCTGGATCACAAGACTGGTGTAGAGAACCTGGCAGAAAGATTCCCATCCAGCCCAGAAGCAGCATCTGCCATATTCCCAGACGTGATGCTTATCCCAAGGTAGAGCTCACCTTTGCAGCATCATCCAGCCCTGTCCTGGAACCAATGCCACTTTCAGGAGTCCACCTCCTGTATGGGGGATAATAGCCCAGTCATCCTAATAGCTACCCAGCATGGTTATATGAGCTCATTGTCAGATACCTGTGTGTTCATTGGGCCGTTGCTTCCACAAATAATTCAGTAATCTGGTTGACTATTGGTTGGCGGTTGAGGGTACTCACGTTGCTGGCAAGATTCCCAGCCTTCATGGCATGTATCATGCGCTGGTCCATCCCCACGCCATCATAGTGACCCTTCATCTGAGTCTGGTACTTTTCCTTATACTTCAGCTGCAGGTGGGGAAAAATATATAAATAAAATATAAAACCTCTAAGGATTCAAATGAGATCTGCAATTTATAGACCAATGTTAGTGAACCACAGCTTAATTATAGGTAAAAAAAAATACTAACACATTGAACTAAAAATTATCTTTATCTGAATTCAAAAGTAATTTATTAGAGCTTTTTAATTTTGAACTGATTTATTTGTGTAATGATTCATTCACTGAGAGTGTCCCTTTCATGGATTGCTGTAAACGCTATGTGAATTCTTTGTTCAGAGTCTAATAAGCTTCTGGACATTACCAGAAAACATGAAAACTGAGGTCCTTATATTAGTTTTTTCTCATGTATATTCTTAGATTTTGTTGACTGCCAATAATTTACTTTCTGAGACTCTTATTTTCTTTTCTTATTATTTATTACAATTCACAAGCAAGGTGTTTATATTCTTATTATATGTTGTCAAGTACCGTACCCTTTTATTTGTATTCTGTATTGTTCTTTTACATTCTACTTGCAGGGATTCCCTTCTTATTTTGTCTGTTTTTTGTAATAATGTATTTCTATATTAATATCTAAATCCTAATAAAAATGTTTCAAAACAAATTTATTCCACAAAAGTTACATTGTATCTCTAGTCAAGACAGGTTATTTTTGATCTTTGGATAGAGTTAGAAATTTCCTGCCAAGGGAAAGGTTATTATTATTATTATTATTATTATTATTATTAATAATAATAATAATAATAATAATAATAATACATGTTTTATTATTAAGGGATCCCCTTCTTATTTTTTAATCTAATTTTCTTTCTGAATCATTTCTAAAATCCAATAAAAAATATTTCAAATAATTTAATCCGCAAAAGTTACATTGTATCTCTAGTCAAGACACGTTATTCTTGTTGTTTGGATAGAGTTAGAAATTGCCTACCAAGGGAAAGATTATTATTATTATTATTATTATTATTAAAGGATCCCTGACATATTCTTTATCTAATTTTCTTTCTGAATCACTTCTAAAACCCAATAAAAAATATTTCAAATAATTTAATCCACAAAAGTTACATTGTATCTCTAGTCAAGACAGGCTATTTTTGTTGTTTGCATGGAGTAAGAAATTGACTATTCAGTGAAAGATTATTATTATTATTATTATTATTATTATTATTATTAATAATAATAATAATAAATTAATTAAATTAATTTATTATGTATTGTGCCCTGTTAGTAACAAAACAGAAAACAAAATTAAATCTCTCCAACGTGAGGGAAATCCACTTAGACAGCCTTTACAGTTGTCACTGAAACAGCTGTACCCATTGGAAGCAATCCCACCCGCTCCATTTTCAGTGACCACTGTAAAATTTTGGATTTTCACTCACTTTCTGTCTCACTGACCATCATGATGAGGACAAACTGTGAGGCTGAATCACTCCAGCTGGGTTACAGACAACAATGATAAGCTTGCAGGGATTCCAACCCCTAACCCCTCCATCCAAGGGTATATATATATATGTATATACACTCACACACACATATATATACACACACTCACACACACATATAGTATACTGTATATACAGATTTCAGTGCTAGGATCTCCCTGCCATGGTTCTTGCCCACCAGTTGATTTAGGATGTCTTATCTATCTTTTTGTGTTCTTGCCCACATGGGAGTTGTACATGCCCTCACCAGCTTTCGTGTATACTCTCCACCTAGGGGTTTTGAATTTCACCACCCACCTTTGTTTGTTCCATACATTCTCCATTATATAAAAAAGATAAATTCCAACAGTGATAATGGGCACAGCAGATGTTCAAATCTGGGAACTCAGCAAAGGGATGGTAGGAGCAGCTCATAATGGCCACAGCATATGTTCAAATCTGGGAACTCAGCAAAGGGATGGTGGGAGCACCTCATAATGGGCACAGCAGGTATGCAGACCTGGAAACCCAAGACACAGATGGTGGAAAACCATTATAGACATCAAGTGTATAGACCTGGGGACTCACAGGTATAGTAGGAACTCTTTAATGGGCACAGCCGGTGTGAAGACCTAGAAACTCAGTACATGGATGGTGGGAACCCATCATAAGGGGCACAGCAGGTGTAATGACCCAGAAACTTAGCACAGAGATCATGGGGACCCTTCATAATGGGAACTTCAGGTGTACAGACCCAGGAATTTAGCACAGATTGGTGGTAACCCCTTATTAAAGGCACTGCAGCTGAGAAAATCTGGGAACTCAGTGCAGGGATGGTGGGAATCCATCATAATGGGAACAGCAGGTGTGCAATCCAGGAAACTCAACGCTGAGAGTATCCAAAAGGTAGAAGAAACTGTCAGGGGGATTTAAATCTCATCTAAAAAAATGGTCAGAAATACGGTTTTGGGGAGGAGTACCCCTTCAAAAAAGTTCTACTTGTACAACACAACAATAAATTGTGATTAAAACAACCCATGAAATATTATTCATTGTAACTGAGCGTGCAGAATGGAAACTCCCAAATCCTCCCAGAAGAGGTAAAATCTGCAAACAGGAGCGAAAATAAAATTTCCTCTCCAGAAGGAGAAATTCCCTCTGCTTTACAAGAGCGATGAGACAGTACAGTAATTAACAAGAATTAATGGAGTGACTCCCCCTTAGATAACTCACCGGGGAGGAATTAACCTTAATTAAGGAGTAAAAACAATGGATTAAACAAGTGTTTGTGGGGAAGAGGCAAAAGAAATTGTGTTTGTTATAACAGCATGTTCTATATCAGGGGTGTACAGTTCGGGAGGTGTATAGAAGCCTCAAGGGCCACAGCTTATCAGCTATTAACATGGGTTGTTCCCTGGAGGAGATTTGTGAGGTTTATGCAGATTGGGGACAGCCGGGGATGCAGTGCTTACATCGCTGGTGTACTTGGAGAGCCTGTTAACATTCTGGAACTGGGGGGTCTCACAGTAGTTTATGCTATGTCCTTTACTGTGCTCCAGGTCCTTCTTGTATCCCACCTGAAAATACAGAAAACATTTTATTCTAAGTGACAAGGCTCCTCTGGTGCAGAGACTGATGTGACTGGCTCAGCGTTCTCTGTACAGCACTACAGAATATGTCAGAGCTATAGAAATGTATAATAGTTATAGTGGGTGACCAGGGACGGACTGACAACTCATGGGGCCCCTGGGCAATAGGGGATCATGGGGCCCCGTGTCCTTGCCCAAACTCAAAAAAGCCTATGAAAAAGGTACCAGGGGCATCTCATGGGGCCCCCTACTGACCCTGGGCCCTTGGGCACTGCCCAAGTTTCCAAATGGTCAGTCTGCCCCTGTGTGTGACTTGCAGTGGGGATATTAGAGTGTAAGCTCCTCTAGTACAGAGACTGATGTAAGTGTGATTTGTACAACACTACAGAATATGTCAGAGCTATATAAATGTATAATAGTTATAGTGTGTGACTTGTGGTGGGGACATTAGAGTGTAAACCCCATCTTGTACAGAGACTGATGTAATATGATTTGTACAACACTACAGAATATGTCAGAGATATATAAATATACAACAATAATTGTGACTGTAGTGGCAACATTAGAGTGTAAGCTCCTCTGGGGCAGAGACTAATGTGACTGACTCAATGTTCTCTGTACAGCACTATGGAATATGTCAGAGCTATATAAATGTATAATAGTAATAGTGTGTGACTGTGGGGAGACATGAAAGTGTAAACATGATTTAAGTGTTCTCTGTACAGCACTGCGGCATATGTCAGCGCTATATAAGTATATGGTAATAATAGTGTGTGCAGGGCTGCTGTTAGAAAGCACAGGGCCCCATACAGCCAACCTGACAGCCCTCTCCTCCCCCAAAAAAACTGTGCTTCAGTTATGAATGAACACAGTGAGTGATCGGTAGTGATCACTCATTGTGGTTATTCAGGAAAGGAAGGGGCTGGTAAACATGACATACAGTATTTATCAATCTCTTCCCCCACTCTCCATCCTGAAGGATCCTATTATGTGCTTGCAGCTGCTGGTAAAAAGGAGGGAATCTGGCAGAACTGTGGGGATGGGGGCACACAGGGGGGCCTGGGCAGTAGGGGGAAATGGATGGTCCACAGGGAGGGTGCAGCGGGGGGCAATTACTGAAACCAATCCCCCATAATGCTCCCTCTGCAGAAGCTGAAAACCATCAGGAGGGAGAGAAGAAGAATTCGGCTTTCAGCTGCTGCAGAGAGGGCCATACATGAGATCGGTTCTAGTAATCGCCCTCCCCCCCCCCCCCCATGCTGATCACCCTCCCTGCCCACATCCAATTCATCCAGCTGCTTGGGCCCCCCGTTTGCCCGAGCCCCGTACAGGAGTACTGGTGTTAACCCCCTTATCCATAGCCCTGAGTGTGTGACTGTAGAGGGGACATTAAAGTATACATTTTTTTGTTTATTTAAAATCTTGCAAACATACAGCTTATTAATAAAAGCATATTTACATATATACAAAAAAATAAAATAAAAATTAATATCTAACTATATAAATACACAAAACCAAACAAGCTTACATCAGCAAATAACAGAAAAGAGAAAACGTCTTTTTTCTAAAAAAAATAACATAAATAGAACTATATACAAAGAAAAATAAATTTTATTATACGAAAACTTACTAAATTATGCAAAAACCAACCAGGGGCGGACTGACCATTTGGGCTCTCGGGCACTAGGGGGCCCCATGAGATGCCCCTGGTACCTTTCATAGGCTTTTTTGAGTGTGGTTTGAATGTGGGTGATTACTCAGGGGCTCCATGATCGCCTATTGCCCGGGGGCCCCATGAGTTGTCAGTCCACCCCTGAACACAAACCTATCCCCACCTAAACACCCCCTCAGGCTAAGAAATGATTAAACATTTATTCCATGCATGCCGCCTTTTTTAAAAATCTGATCTTACAAAAATCTAGGGGACATGAAAGGACAGAAAGAGAAGCCACACTCCCAGAGACTGACAGACAGCAGCTACGGGGACCTGACATTCCTCCACGCCTTTGTCCAGGCTCCCAGCCGTCAACCGTCCTTCTCAAGACCCCGAATCTTCCCAACCTCACCCAGAATGTTGTGCACCACCACCTTGACAGGAAGGACTTTTCTGTGAATGGAAACCTGACACTGTGCATTCCACATGAAGTAACGGACTACTAGGCTAACTAGAAAAATGTCTCAAAATCAAAGTCCCGGTGAGTCTGAAAGGCTCCGTAAGACCACTCCGCGTAACTCAAGCGGGAAAGGAAAGGGATACCCAGAGCCCCACCCACCTGCTTTTACACTTCTATATTGAAGGGCCACTGAAGCAAGAAATGGTCCATCGTCTCCTCCACCCCACCACACTCCACTCTTGGACAACCAAGGTTCTCGGCAGAGTAATGCTTCAGGTTGCCCTTCACATAGAGTCTGCCATGGAACGAGAGCCAGGCCAAATCCCAAAACGTTAAAGGAATTCTCCTCAGATTCATCAAACGCAGACCCTGCCACATAACAGGGCCTGGGCAATCTCTCAAGGCCAATGGCTCTCTAAATGCAGATTCAACAACCCTCCTCTCCAGGACCTTCCTAGGAAGAGACTTAATTTCCTCCGCCGTCCCTCGCCATTGCCAAAGCATTTTCAGGCATGGGGCAACATAAGTCGGGAGCTTACCATGTTGGACCCTCAGGCTTTTCAGGGGACATTAAAGTGTAAGCTCCTCTAGTACAGAGACGGATGTAAGTGTTCACTGTACAACACTGTGGAATATGTCAGAGCTATATAAATGTATAATAATAGTGTTGGACATTAGAGTGTAAGCTTCTCTGGTGCAGAGGCTGATGTGACTGGCTGAGTGTTCTCTGTAGCACTGCAGAATATGTCAGAGCTATATAAATGTATAATAATGGTAATAGCATGTCACATATGGTGGGGACATTAGAGTGTAAGCTCTTCTGGTACAGGGAATGATGTGGCTTTCTCAGTGTTCTCTGTGCAGCACTGCAAAATATATCAGAGCTACTGTATCAGGGGCGGACTGACCATTTGGAAACTCGGGCTCTGCCCGAGGGCCCGGGGTCAGTAGGGGGCCCCATGAGATGCCCCTGGTACCTTTTTCAAAGGCTTTTTTGAGTTTGGGCAAGGACACAGGGGCCCCATGATCCCCTATTGCCCGGGGGCCCCATGAGTTTTCAGTCCGCCCCTGTACTGTATATAAATTTATAACAATAATAGTGCATGACTGTGGAGGGGCAATAGAATGTAAGCTCCTTTGGTGCTGACTGGCTCAAAGTTCTCTGTACAGCATTATGAATTATGTTAGAGCTTTACAAATGTATCCCACTTTATCTTTAATAAATCTTACCTCGCTGACCAGTTTGTTCACATTTTGAGCTTGCTTCAGGGTCAGGTTGTCATCAGTGGTCAGAGTGTGGTAGTGGGCCGCCCCTTTCATCTTGGAGAGATCCTTCTTATATTTAATCTAAGGAGGAAATCAGACTGTCCATGAGTATGAGCAAAAGGAGAACTGAGAGGGAGGAGCAGAAAGTTATAGAGCAGATGGAAACAATACAGCAGGATGCTGGGACATGTAGTCCATTGGCAAGTTTAAAAGCCAAGTTATGCATCTGAAAATTGTCCTCGATTATCACTAACAGGTCAGGATTCCAAGTCTCCAGACTCTGCAATGAAATGGTTTGGTTATGTCACACGGGCTATTAATGTGAGATCTACATTGGTAGCCCCCTAACTCTAACACCCATCTGAACACTGAGCCTACCTCTTACTATCCTACCTCTATCACCAAAACTAGAACTGAGCCTACCTCTTACTCTACCTCTATCACTAAAACAAGAACTGAGCCTACCTCTTACACTACCTCTAACACTAGCACTGAGCCTACCTCTTATCCTACCTGTATCACCAAAACTATAACTGAGTCTACCTCTTACTCTACCTCTATCACCAAAACTAGAACTGAGCCTACCTCTTACCCTACCTCTATCATTAAAACTAGCACTGAGCCTACCTCTTACTCTTCCTATATCACTAAAACTAGTACTGAGCCTACCTCTTACCCTACCTCTATTACTAAAAGTAGCACTGAGTCTACCTCTTACTCTACCTCTATCACTAAAACTAGCACTAAGCCTACCGCTTACACTACCTCTATCACTAAAACTAGCAGTGAATCTACCTCTTACTCTACCTCTATCACTAAAATCAGCACCAAGTCTACCTCTTGCCCTATCTCTATCAGTAAAACTAGCACTGAGCCTACCTCTTGCCCTACCTCTATCACTAAAGCTAGCACTGAGTCTACCTCTTACTCTACCTCTATCACTAAAACTAGCACTGAATCTACCTCTTACCCTACCTCTAACACTAAAACTAACACTGAGCCTACCTCACTCTATACCCTACCTCTAACACTAAAACTAACACTGAGCCTACCTCTTACTCTACCTCTATCACTAAAACTAGCACTGAGCCTACCTCTTACCCTACCTCTATCACTAAAACTAGCACTAAGCCTACCGCTTACCCTACCTCTATCACTAAAACTAGAACTGAATCTACCTCCTACTCTACCTCTATCACTAAAACTAGCACTGAGCCTACCCCTTACCCTATCTCTATTATTAAAACTAGCACTGAGTCTACCTCTTACCCTATCTCTATCACTAAAACTAGCACTGAGCCTACCCCTTACCCTATCTCTATCACTAAAACTAGCACTGAGTCTACCTCTTACCCTATCTCTATCACTAAAACTAGCACTGAGTCTACCCCTTACCCTATCTCTATCACTAAAACTAGCACTGAGCCTACCCCTTACCCTACCTCTATCACTAAAACTAGCACTGAGCCTACCGCTTACCCCCTAGATATATTATTAAAACTAGCACTGAGCCTACCGCTTACACTACCTCTATCACTAAAACTAGCACTGAATCTACCTCTTACTCTACCTCTATCACTAAAATCAGCACCAAGTCTACCTCTTGCCCTATCTCTATCAGTATACTAGCACTGAGCCTACCTCTTACCTCTATCACTAAAGCTCGCACTGAGAGCTACCTCTTACTCTACCCTCTATCACTAAAACTAGCACTAAGCCTACCTCTTACCCTACCTCTAACACTAAAAACTAACACTGAGCCTACCTCTTACCCTACCTCTAACACTAAAAACTAACACTGAGCCTACCTCTTACTCTACCTCTATCACTAAAACTAGCACTGAGCCTACCTGACCTCTACACTAAAACTAGCACTAAGCCTACCGCTTACCCTACCTCTATCACTAAAACTAGAAGAATCTACACTCTACCTCTATCACTAAAACTAGCACTGACCTACCCCTTACCCTATCTCTATCATTAAAACTAGCACTGAGTCTACCTCTTACCCTATCTCTATCCTAAAACTAGCACTGAGCTACCCCTTACCCTATCTCTATCACTAAAACTAGCACTGAGTCTACCTCTTACTCTTACCCTATCTCTATCACTAAAACTAGCACTGAGTCTACCCCTTACCCTATCTCTATCACTAAAACTAGCACTGAGCCTACCCCTTACCCTACCTCTATCACTAAAACTAGCACTGAGCCTCCCTCTTACCCTACCTCTATCACTAAAACTAGCACTGAGCCTACCGCTTACCCTAGATATATTATTAAAACTAGCACTGAGCCTACCCCTTACCCTACCTTTATTACTAAAACTAGCACTGAGCCTACCTCTTACCCTACCTTTATTACTAAAACTAGCACTGAGCCTACCTCTTACCCTACCTTTATTACTAAAACTAGCACTGAGCCTACTTCCTACCATAGTACTAACCCTAAGCATGTTCAGTGTGCCCCTCCCTTTTCCTAGCCTTCCAGGCCACATGTTTGCATAAGGGTCTATTATGGACTTGGGCCCTCTAATGCTTTCTTTGTTTTCATTGTGTTGGTTCCCCTTAAAACCTATAACAGATCTTCTTCAAGGATATTATTACACAGAGTGTGGCCGGTTACCCCCTCTGGGGTCCCCAGGCTGGCACTGTCCTTCTGTGTGTGCCCCCAAAGCAAGCCGCTTCTTATGGGGGGCATGCACATGTGCTCCTGAGCCAGGCTGTGTGCATCCATGGACACAGCCTCAGCCTTGCCCCACGCTCCCGCCTCACAGGATTTGATTGACAGCAGCAGAAGCCAATGGCTCCCACTGCTATCAGCAAACCCAGTGAGACCAGGAAGAGGGGACAAGAGAGCTTCAGTCAGACGCAGTGCTGGATTGATAAAAGTCTCAGGTAACTGTTGGGGGGGGGGGGGGGGTAAAATTAAGTGCAAGGATTTTTACCTTAATGCAGAGAATAAACACCTTTAGTGTTTAGAACTCCTTCAAGCTAAGACTACACCAAACTCTACCCCTAATGCTAACCCTATCCCACACTTTTCCACTAATCCTAGCTCTATCCCTAACCCTTTATCACTTTTTTCAGTAAATGGTATGATCTCCAGGCCAGCATTGATGGTAGCACTATGGTTTGCATTTTTTTGGTCCAAGAACATGTCCAGGTAAACTAAAAGAGGCCTTAACCCTGAGAACCCTTTTAAATTCCAATGTACCCTTAGCACCACCTTCATGTATCCTTTTCTCTTTATTCAAATTAATTTTGCCGAAGTGGTAATATTTCAGCCAAATGTACTGGTGGTTGACTACATTGCAAATAATTTCCAGCTTTCCAAAACTTTTGTGGCAGCAAAAACCAGGAAAAGCAATGGAAGTCAGTGGGCTGTGGATACCGATGTTGATTCCAGGGGCAGACTGACCATTTGGAAACTCAGGTACTACCCGAGGGCCCAGGGTCAGTAGGGGGCCCCATGAGATGCCCCTGGTATCTTTTTCATAGGCTTTTTTGAGTTTGGGCAAGGACACAGGGGCCCCATGATCCCCTATTGCCAGGGGGCCCCATGAGTTGTCAGCCCACCCCTGGTTGAGTCACACTCAACATTGGGTTTCTCCCCTTACAGTCAGTAACTATTTCCACTCATTTTTCAGCATCTAAAACCGGCACCAAGAAGAGTCATAAGAGGGAAATGATCTCACACTAACGTCTTCTATACTTGACTTGAATTTTGCCTGATTGGAATTGCCAGAATTGGAGCCAATTGTGGCCCTGTTGGTGCCACCCAACTCGGCAAACTTCAAGTGAAAGGAGCCGGGTGGAAAATTAACCAGTAGGGAAGATTCCTCCATCCATGCTGTATGTCTAACCTTATGGTGGCCTTAAGCTGGCCATGAACGGATCAAAATTTGGTTGGTTCAGCAGGAATCAGTTGAATTTCGATCCATCAATGGGCAGGCTGGCTGTACTGAAGTCGATCTTCAATCAACTTCAGTACAATCAGTCTATCTTTGTTTTTCGTGCAATCACTGCATGTGTCTATAGTCACCAGCAGTAATCATTGTATTCTGATCCCAGCCACTGACTGTGTTGATGGGAGAATCGAGCGATTTCCTTTCCTTCGATTTGTGTGGTTGAAGAAATGAAAATGCATACTCTATGGCCTACGTTAAGGTGACTTCGATCCATCCGATTGATATAACACATACAGGGAAATGGGTTTTGATTGATAGTTAAGACATGATTGTAAATGACTGTTTCCACTATGAAATCTAAAATAATAGGATTGTAGAAATAAAGCATCTCAATACTGCCAATCAATGGAAAACGATCAATAATCAACTAGAGTTGAAATCGATCCGAAGAAGGCTATGGCTTTTTCATTGTTTGCAGATTTGTTCATTTTGATCGAATTGGACTTCAATTGGATAATACGATCAAAGTATGTATGGCCACCATTAGAATCTCAGTGAAATGTCACATTTATAATGTAAAGAATACATACATCGCTGATCATCTCGTTGGCCTTTTTGGCATTGAGGTAGGCAGGGGTGATCATCGCTGGGAAACTGCCCTTCCCTCTGTACTCCTCTTGCTCCTCGTCATATTCCTGCAGGGAGAAGAACCGAACGATATCAGAAGACAAATCCCGTCACAAGTATGACATTATATGTGTGTACTGTGCACACCATCTGTACACACAGGGTCTATATAGAAAGTTTTCACCAACTTTCAGCCAGGATTCACACATTTCTGCTGTGAACATTATGAGGCTTTCGTACCATCCCTTTGCTGGGTTTGCAGGTCTGTATACCTAGAATGTTGATTGTGAGAGGTTCCAACCATCCCTGAGCAGATTTCTCAGGTCTGTAGACCTGCAGTGCCCATTATGAGGAGTCCCCACCATCCATGTACTTAGTTCCTAGGCCTGTAGACCTTTTGTGGTCCTTATGAGGGGTTTCCAGCTTTGCTATGCTGAGTTCTCAGGTCTGTAGACCTGCAGTGCCCATTATGAGGAGTCCCCACCATCCATGTACTTAGTTCCTAGGCCTGTAGACCTTTTGTGGTCCTTATGAGGGGTTTCCAGCTTTGCTATGCTGAGTTCTCAGGTGTGTAGACCTGGTGCACCCTTATGAGAAGTTCCCACCATCCCTGTGCTGAGTTCCCAGGTATGTAGACCTGCTGTGCCCATTATGAGGGGTTCACACCATCTCTGTACTTAGTTCCCAGGTATGTAGACCTGCTGTGCCCATTTTAAGGGGTTCACCTCTCTGTACTTAGTTCCCAGGTCTGTAGACCTTTTGTGACCATTATGAGGGGTTTCCACCATCCCTATGCTGAGTTATCAGGTCTGTAGACCTGCTGTGCCCATTAGGAAGGGTTCCCACCATCCCCTAGATGGTGTAGACCTGCAGTGTCCCCACCATCCATGTACTTAGTTCCTAGGCCTGTAGACCTTTTGTGGTCCTTATGAGGGGTTTCCACCTTCGCTATGCTGAGTTCTTAGGTCTGTAGACCTGCTGTGCCCATTATGAGAGGTTCCCACCATCCCTGCTCTGAGTTCTCAGGTGTGTAGACCTGGTGCACCCATTATGAGAAGTTTCCACCATCCATGTGCTGAGTTCCCAGGTATGTAGACCTGCTGTGCCCATTATGAGGGGTTCCCACCATCTCTGTACTTAGTTCCCAGGTATGTAGACCTGCTGTGCCCATTTTAAGGGGTTCCCACCATCTCTGTACTTAGTTTGCAGGTCTGTAGACCTTTTGTGACCATTATGAGGGGTTTTCCACCATCCCTATGCTGAGTTATCAGGTCTGTACACCTGCTGTGGCCATTAGGAAGGGTTCCCACCATCCCTGCTCTGAGTTGTCAGGTCTGTAGACCTGATGTGCCCATGATGAGGGGTTCCCACCATTTCTGATTTGAGTTCCCAGGTCTGTAGACCTGCTATACCCATTATGAGGGGTTTCCACCATCCATTTGCTTAGTTCCCAGGTTTGCACACCTGTTGTGTCGATTATGAGGGGTTACCACCATCCTTGTGCTGAGTTCTCATGTCTGTAGACCCTTTGTGGCCATTATGAGAGGTTCCCACCATCCCTGTGCTGAGTTCCTGGCTCTATATACCTGCTGCGCACATTATGAAGGGTTCCCACCATCCTTGCGCATGTACATATCACAAAAAAAAAATACACAACATTTTGTGCATAAACTTATAAACAAACATATATCAAATGTCCTCTTATAGTAGCAGTGCCTAAATCACAATCTAATGTCCAGTTTATATAAATTCATAAAAATCCAGGTTTTGCAAATCAAAAGGTCTGTGTGTGTCTTCTTAAGAATTATTATCTTCTTCCTTCACTGTGTGCGATTCCACGTCAATAAATGTACAGCCCCGCCCCCTGTGCCCCCAAAAACAGCCCGCCAAAAAATGGTCACCTTTCTTATGCCTGCAGGCCGGCAAATGATTTGCAATTCAGACAATGCTGCTCTTGGCGGATATTTAACATTTTTTTTGTTTATACATCACAGAGGCAGAAAGGTTAATATACAAAAAGATACATTGTTGTTGTTTATTATTTATGTACAAAGATGATAGGGAGGTGCTCTTCATTTTTCTAAATTCCTTTTATCATTGTGGATTAGTAACCTGCACTCTTGATTTCATTTAATCGGCTTGTTGTGGAAAGTGAAGGTTCTTTTGCACAAAGTTTTATAATTATATTGTTACAGTTTTAAAAAAACAAAAAAAATGTTTCAGAATTGCCCATAATTCTAATGCCGGCCATACATGGGTCAAAATTCGACCGATTTTTCATCCGAAAGTTGGACCTAAGAATAAACTATTGTAACTCCCTCCTCATTGGCCTACCTCATCGCAGGCTATCCCCTCTTCAGTCTATGATGAATGCTGCTGCCAGACTCATCCACCTCACTAACCGTTCTGTATCTGCCACCCCTCTCTGCCAATCCCTCCACTTGCCTCCACTCAGTGTCCCCCACCCCTCTCTGCCAATCCCTCCACTGGCCTCCACTCAGTGTCCTCCACCCCTCTCTGCCAATCCCTCCACTGGCCTCCACTCAGTGTCCGCCACCCCTCTCTGCCAATCCCTCCACTGGCCTCCACTCAGTGTCCTCCACCCCTCTCTGCCAATCCCTCCACTGGCCTCCACTCAGTGTCCCCCACCCCTCTCTGCCAATCCCTCCACTGGCCTCCACCCCTCTCTGCCAATCCCTCCACTGGCCTCCACTCAGTGTCCCCCACCCCTCTCTGCCAATCCCTCCACTGGCCTCCACTCAGTGTCCTTCAACCCTCTCTGCCAATCCCTCCACTGGCCTCCACTCAGTGGCCTCCTCCACCCCTCTCTGCCAATCCCTCCACTGGCCTCCACTCAGTGTCCCCCACCCCTCTCTGCCAATCCCTCCGCTGGCCTCCAATCAGTGTCCCCCATCCCTCTCTGCCAATCCCTCCACTGGCCTCCACTCAGTGTCCTCCACCCCTCTCTGCCAATCCCTCCACTGGCTTCCCATTGCCCAACGGATACAATTCAAAACAATAACAATAACATATAAAGCCATTTATAACTCTGCCCCAAATTACATCACAAATCTTGCCTCCAAATATCACCTAAACCGTCCGTCCTCTCTGCTCCTCCCACAACCTCCTGCTCTCTAGCTCCCTTGTCTCCTCCTCCCATGCTCGTCTCCAGGACTTCTCCAGAGCTTCCCCCATCCTCCGTAACTCTCTACCCCAATTTATCAGACTATCGCCTACTCTGCTCACTTTTAGGCGATCTCTGAAAACCTATCTCTTCAGGGAAGCCTATCCTGCCTTTAGCTAATACTGGAATCTTCTACTCTTCCTACCAGTCCATCCCCCACAGTTACTACCTTTTGTACCACTAGCCCCTCCCTCCTAGATTGTAAGCTCCAAGGATCAGGGCCCTCCTAACCCTCTTGTATTGAACTGTATTGTTACTGTATTGTCTCCTGTTATATTGTAAAGCGCTGAGCAAACTGTTGGCGCTAAATAAATCCTGCTAAATAAATAATATCCTGTATAATAATAATAATAATATATAAAATCCTGAATAATAATAATAATAAATCCTGTATATCCTGTAATATAATAAAATAAATCCTGTATAATAATAATAGTAATAATTGGCCGATTTTTCGCTCTGTTAGTGGGTGAGTAGCACTGGCTGATTTTCGTGCTTCCTCCCTTTTCGGTGATCAGGCATGTTGGAAAATTCATAAAAAATGACCAATTTTTGACTCAAAGATGGTCAAATCGTACAATCATTTCTCCAAAAAGATTATGCGCATGAGCCGTGACCTGGAAGGAACAGAAGTTTGCCTGTTATATGGGGTGAACTCTATGACTTGATCAGCCAATTTTCAAAATAATTGATGGCATCATCGGATTACCAAGTGAACTATGTTTTTCGACAAAAAATCGTTCAGAATTCGAACCATGTATGGCCTGCATTACTATACTATACTTCCAGAATCAGAAGATTCAACCTACATAGGAGACTAGGATACACGCTGAAAGCACCACAGGCGCCATCTGGTGACAGCTCAAAAGTGACACTCAGCACATTAAAGTATAACCAAAGGCAAAACTTTTTTTTTCTGTTTTTGGATAGAGTGGAAGGGATTAGAACCCCTGTCAGTTTTTATTGCCGTCTGTGCCCCATTAATGAGATCCGCCATCTCTATTTCTCCTGTTTATCATTACTATTGAAAGTGAAAGTAAAAGTAAATCCTACATTTTTGGGTTGTCCCCAGAAAAGAGAGGAAAACCAGAACGCTAGTTCTGGTGACCTGAGGGGTCCCCAAGGAATTCCCTTAATTTTCAGGGATCATCTCTCACTTCCTGTTTTTTCTATGGGACAGGAAGTGAAGATGAATCTCCCCAATGGGACACAGATGGCAAAACAATCTGACAGGGGTCATAACCCTCCCTATCCAAAATGAAAAAAAAAAAGGTTTTCCAATAGCTCTACTTTAAACTGTATCTAAAAACAACAATGTAACAATTATATACACATATATATTATATATATGATATATATATATATATATATCGTTATTATTATTTTTTTTGTTCATTATTATTATTTATTTATTTATTTTTTTATTTATAGAGGGTAGATGCTGACCTCCTTCTAAAAACAAAAGCTAGTTGCCCGGTTGTTATGCTGATCCTCCAGATTCAGTACTTGTTGAGTCACTGAAAGTAAGAGGAAAGTCATCCATTGTGATCTGCATAGTGGTTCTGGATCAGTGGCTCAAAGTATCAATGCCAGAGGATCAGCACAAGGGACAGGTAACTAGCATTGTCAGGGAAAGTGGTTGTAAATCTCAGACATAAAATATGAACAAAGCATATCCCTCTATAGTGTGTACTTGTCTCTATTAAGAGCACTAAGTGTCATTTCTGTCTGCTGCCTCCTTTCTCTGCTATCAGCATGAGTCACTTCTGACAAGTTTTCATGACACCAATCATAATTGGCACAGCAGGTGTACAGACAGGACTCAGCACAGGAGGGGGGAACCCCTCAACACAGGGATGACCCAGGGGGGAACCCCCCCATAATGGACACAGCACAGGGATGGGGGGAACCCCCATAATGGACACAGCAGGTGTACAGACCCAGGAGCTCAGCACAGGGATGGGGGGAACCCCTCATAATGGGCACAGCAGGTGTACAGACCCAGGAGCTCAGCACAGGGATGGCAGGAACCCCTCATAATGGGCACAGCAGGTGTACAGACCTGGGAGTTCACACAGGGATGGTGGGAAACCCTCAAAATGTGTGTGTAGATCCAGGAGCTCAGTACGGGGATGATGGGAACCCCTTATAATGGACACAGCTGTAGAGATCTGGGAACTCAGCACAGGGATGGTGGGAAACCCTCAAAATGAGCCCATCAGGTGTGTAGACCCAGGAGCTCAATACAGGGATGGTGGGAACCGCTCATAATGGGCACAGCTGTATAGACCTGGGAACTCAATACAGGGATCGTGGGAACCGCTCATAATGGGCACAGCTGTATAGACCTGGGAACTCAGTACAGGGATGGTGGGAGCACCTCGTAATTGGCACAGCAGGTGTACAGACCCAGGAACTAACACAGGGATGGTGGGAACCCTTCATATAGGCACAGCAGGTGTGTGTAGATCCAGGAGCTCAGTACAGTGATGGTGGGAACCCCTCATAATGGGCACAGCAGGTGTGTAGACCTGGGCGCTCAGTACAGGGATGGTGGGAACCCCTCACAATAGGCACAGCAGGTGTGTAGACCCAGGAGCTCACACAGGGATGAAGGTAACCCCTCATAATGGGCACAGCAGGTGTGCAGACCTGGGTGCCCAGTACAGGGATGGTGAGAACCCCTCATAATGGGCACAGCAGGAGTGCAGACCTGGGTGCTCAGTACAGGGATGGTGAGAACCCCTCATAATGGGCACAGCAGGAGTGCAGACCTGGGTGCCCAGTACAGGGATGGTGAGAACCCCTCATAATGGGCACAGCAGGAGTACAGACCTGGGTGCCCAGTACAGGGATGGTGAGAAACCCCTCATAATGGGCACAGCAGATATGCAGACCTGAGAACTCAGTACACAGCAGGTGTGCAGATGTAAAACCCCAGCACAGGGATCTCACCAATAGATGTATAAGATTCTGTCAGTTGGTTTAGCTCCCCAGAATCCACCTAAAATTGGAATTTCATTTTTGGGTGGAGCGGTTCAGTGACATTTAGGTTACCTTTCCAGGAACCTCAGCGGGATTCCCACCAATGTCACCGGAGGCTTTATAGTCAGAAGATGGAGGCGGAGAGGGTGTGGGGTGCAGGATTGGATTGGAGCAGTGATGGGTGTCAGGGGAAGGCAAACCATTAGTGGATTATTTGATTTCAGGATGTGTTGCGGTGAAGGAGTGTAAGATCCTATCAAAGACTGCGAATTGTGACTTTGATTTGTTTCTGATTTATGTAAAGACCGGAGGGGATTGGCAGGACGGGAGGGGGGTGGGGGGGTGACAGACAGGTGGCTGCATCCATAGATTGACAGCTCTGCCGGTCCCGCTGGGTGTCACGTACCTGGCTCAGCTCATCTGCAGTTTGTTTAGTAAACGCCACATCTGTCGCGCTCGCTTTTCCCTTCATCTCCCTGTGATATCGCTGGTGATATTTCACCTGGCGCCGAGACAAGAGAGAATAAACGTCAGTAAAATGCAACTGCCGGGCGGCCAACATTAGACGGAACGGGAGAAAGGCTCTGCGCCGCGGGACGTGACGACCGGGGAGGGGGCTGCGATTCCTGATCTGCGGCAACGCGTATCATTTGTCCGCACGCTGTCACATTCAGGAGACGTCAGCCCCCGCGCTGGCAGGCCGGGACGGCGGTACGGTTGCGCCACGGTGGGCTGCCAGCTGTCTTGCCCTAAGGGGGGACAGAGGGGGAGATTGGTGTTTGAAGGGGGCTCTGGTGAATTGCGTGCGGTTGATGTGCTCAGAACTTGGCCGGCAACAAATGGAGGGCTGGACGGATCTTCCGACAGGAAATCACACGGTGACGGCGGTGCCAGTTCACCGAGACCTCTGGAAAGTTACAACAAAGTTTTAAGGGGAACTCCAAAAAATATTGTTTGTACCTTAACTGGCCCCATGACGCCATGATTAAGTCACCAATCTCCCCCTCTGTCCCCCCTTAGGGCAAGACAGCTGGCAGCCCACCGTAGCGCAACCGTGCCGCCATCCCGGCCTGCCAGCGTGGGGGCTGACGTCTCCTGAATGTGACAGCGTGTGGACAAATGATACGCGGTGCTGCAGATCAGGAATCGCAGCCCCCCCCGGGTCGTCACGTCCCGCATCGCAGAGCCTTCCTCCCGTTCCGTCTAATGTTGGCCTTCCCTTCAGTCTTGCACAGTTGTACCGGCTCCTCTTCTGAACTGAAATGACTTCCTCTGATTGCACTGCACACTGTGAGCTTCTCACAATGTGCATTAGAAGCTGCGGCAAGTCAGATAAAGCCCGCCTCATTTAATGACTGGAGGACATCCAGCAACATCAAGCCCTTTCATCCCCCAGCCTGACTGTCTCCAGCCCACCCCTTTCATTCATAGTCTTTCAGTTCTTTCAACCATGGAGGCTCAGCATCAGTGCCGGGACAAGGTCATATAGAGATCAGGGTGAAGATGCCAAATGGCCCCCCTCCCCCACAAAAAAAAAAAATGTATTAGCATTATATGTCAGCAAAAATCCCCTCCCTCCCTCCCTCCTCTTAAAAAATTCAAGCACTATAGGAGGCTATTAAGGACTATATAGCCACTGGCTATCAGATTGCCACTGTGCGGTCTTTCCTTACCCACCCCATGTTCTTTGCTGGAAAGTGGGGATGGGGAAGACAAACAAACATTGCACTGTGGTGATCTGGCATTCCCTATCCAGGCAGGAGAAGGAGCTGGAGGGAGGGAGAGAGCACAACCCACCCCTCCTCCCGGCTCTCTCCTTTTCTCCAAGACTTCTCACCCTGCTGATGAGAAAATGTATTTAACAGATTATATTTAATAAAATAATTGCATTTCCATGTTGTGTGTACTGTGGGAGACCAGATATAGTGAATGCAGGGTCCGGAGAGACCAGATATAGTGAATGCAGGTTCCGGGGAGACCAGATATAGTGAATGCAGGGTCCGGGGAGACCGGATATAGTGAATGCAGGGTCCTGGGAGACCGATATAGTGATTCAGGTCCGAGGAGACCAGATATAGTGATTCAGAGTCCGAGGAGACCAGATCTAGTGAATGCAGGGTCCGGGGAGACCAGATCTAGTGAATGCAGGTCCGGGAAGACCAGATCTAGTGAATGCAGGGTCCGGGGAGACCGGATATAGTGAATGCAGGGTCCGGGGAGACCGGATATAGTGAATGCAGGGTCCGGGGAGACCGGATATAGTGAATGCAGGGTCCAGGGGGACCGGATATAGTGAATGCAGGGTCCGGGAGACCAGATATAGTGAATGCAGGGTCCGGGGAGGCCAGATATAGTGAATGCAGGGTTCAGGGAGACCAGATACAGTGAATGCAGGGTCTGGAGAGGGCGGATATAGTGAATGCAGGGTCCGGGGAGACCAGATATAGTGAATGCAGGGTCCGGGGAGACCAGATATAGTGAATGCAGGGCACGTGGTTTAGTGACACTTTAAGTAATACAGCTTGGTCACCAATTCAGACAAAACAGCCAACACACAAAATTCTCCTTCATGACTAAAGGCTGTTTTGGAGATTTTTATCTTGAATTTGAAAGCCAAAGCAGATAAAAAAAATTGTTTTATGAAATATTGGTGGATGCCAAGCCTACAGGGCGGGTGGTCACAGCCAACGGGGCAATTTATGTCAAAATTTATTTTTTTAAATTTCCATCACTACTGTTTATTTAACAAGCCAAAGGTCTAATCCAAGTCATAACTCACATCACTGGCTAGCTCAGTGGCTTTCTTGGCAATCTGGTAGCCGGGTGTAATCATTGCCGGGAAGCTGCCTTTTCCCCGCTGCTCTTCATAATCTTCTGTGTATTTCACCTGAAGATCCGAGACAATGAACACAGATAGAACAGAGGAAATCATGTGACAGAGCACCATATTATTAATTAGGACTCACATCGCTCATGTTTTGTCCACTGGCCTTGGCATGCAAAATATCTTTGGTGTCCACTACACTGCTGTACTGAGAGATGCGTTCCTCATGACCGCGCTTGTACTCCACCTGTCACAAGAATGAAAACAGTAAAGGTGCATGAGGAGTGTTCTCTGGATAAAGAGAAAAAACATTATAAGAACACAGTGGGCAGGGGATTGTGCTAAACAAAGTCACCAGGGAGGAGAGGGAACCCTTAAAACAGTGATCTGGTACACTGCCGCCAACATAGCAATTGGGAACACCACCTCCAACATAGAGATCAGTGAGACCAGCTCCAATATAGAATCTAGTTGACCACCTTCAAAATAGTCACCGGAGAGACCACCTCCAACATAGCGACCAGGGAAACCTCCTCCAACTTAGTTAACACCCCCAAGACAGTGATTGGAGATACCACCTCCAACATAGAGATCAGGGAGACCACCTCTAACATAGAAACTAGGGAGACCACCTTCAGTATAGTTACCAGGGAGACTACCTCCAACTTTGTCACCAGGGAAACCTCCTCCAACTTAGTTAACACCCCCAAGACAGTGATTGGAGATACCACCTCCAACATAGAGATCAGGGAGACCACCTCTAACATAGAAACTAGGGAAACCACCTTCAGTATAGTTACCAGGGAGACTACCTCCAACTTTGTTACCAGGAAAACCTCCTCCAAGTTAGTGACCACCCCAAAACAGTGACAGGGACACAAATGCTAATGTAGTAATCAGAGACACCTCCTCCAACATGAAGATCAGGGAGACCACCTCCAGGGTAGGAACATGAGAGACCACCTTCAACATAATTACCAGGGAGACCATCTCCAACATAGTGACCACCCCCAATACAGTGATCAGGAATGCTGCCTCCAAAATAGTGACTGGGGAGACTACTTCCAACATAGAGACTAGAAAGATCACCTCCAACAAATTGACTGGTGTGATCACCTCCAACCTAATGACTAGAGAATATGTCTCTAACCTAGTGACCAGAGAGACCACCTGCAATCTAGTGACCAGGGTGACTACCTCCAACCTAGGGACCAGGAAGATTTTCTGCAACATAGTGACCATGAAGACCAACACAGTGACCAGGTAGACCATCTCCACTACAATGACTGAGTATACCACCTCCAACTCACTGACTGTGAAGACCACCTTCAACATATTGACTGGTGTGATCACCTCCAGCCTAGTGACTAGGGTGACCACCTACAATCTAGTGACTAGGGTGACCACCTCCAACCTACTGACCAGGAAGATTTTCTGCAACATAGTGACCATGAAGAACAACACCCCACACAGTGACCAGGAAGACCACCTGTAACATAAAAACGTGGGACACCTCCCAGAACACAGCAACTAGGTAGACCACCTCCAACACACTGACTGTGGACAATGTCTCCAAAATAGTGATTCAGGAGAATGCCCCCAATACAGTGACTAAAGAGACCACCTCCAACACAGTGACTGGGTACACCCTCTCCAAATTAGTAATCAAGGAGACTGCTACCAACATAGTGATCACATAGTAATCACGGATCCTGCCACCATCTTAGTGAGTAGGGAGATCTCAAACAACGTGACTGGGAACAACTACCCCTTTTTGTTGACCAGGGAAACTACTACATTGTAACCTCAGCAATCACTATATTTGAGTCAATTTCCACCCTAAAATGGTGACTGGGGAGACCACACTCAATTTAGTGTTCAGGAACACCACCTCCAACACAATGACCAAGGAGACCACCTACAACATAGGGACGGCAGAATCCTCCTTCAACATAGTGACCCAGGAGATCTCTTTCAATACAGTGACCAAAGAGAGTATCCTGAACACAGTGAGCAGGTAGACTTCATCCAATACTATGAGGAAGAACACCCAACACAGAGAATGGGGAGACCACACTCCATACAGTGGCTGGGAAAAACGTTCTCCAAAACAATAACCATAGGGTTGTACTTACAATAGTGACCAGGGAAACCACCCAATACACAGTGATCAGGGAGACAACCCCATCACTGTCTGCAACACGGTGACTTACATTGCTGGCTAGGTGAGCAGCCTTTCTGGCAGTCTGGTAAGCCGGAGTGATCATGGCCGGGAAGCTTCCTTTTCCTGTCTGTTCCTCAAACTCTTCTGTGTATTGTACCTGGCAATAGAGGACACTGATGTAATTTAAACCATGGTTTTTCAGTATCAATACAAAGATGCCATCAGTCCCAGAATATTACACACTAGGTGGGCATCAGGCAAATATAAGATCAGGGAGGAGATCAGAATGGCACCTTATGTGCATTCACATCCGTGCAAAATCTGGTGCAGCTCTGCATAGAAACCAATCAGCTTCCAGATTTTATTGTCAAAAGCCTAATTGAACAAGCTGAGGTTAGAAGCTGATTGGCTACCAAGCACAACTGCACCAGATTCTGAGTGCTCCAGTTTTAGTAAGTCTACTCCAATGTTCAGTAGAGGGAATGCAGCTTCCTGCAACTTTCATCCAATTACTTTATCCCCACTTATTTAGGATAGAAAATTCTGTCTCTATTTATTATTATTTCTGGCACCCATGACCTGTTAAAACTTTTTTTTCCAATTGTTTGTATTTTTTCTAAAGACGGTCAGAAGAAAGTCTCCAAAGCAGCCCTTCTCAACCAAGGTTCCATGGAACCCCAGTGATTCCGAGGTTGCAAGAGGTTCCTTGAGTAATGAGCAATTTCTGCTTTTCATATATGTAACCACTGACACCAATGATCTTTTGAACCTACTGTAACTGGAGCATTCTGTAAAGAGAAATGTTCCCACTGACCACAAATGTAACATGTTTTCTTCTCACTGACCACCAATGTAGTGCACATTCTTCCTCTGCCCACCAATGTATTCTTATCACTGACCTCCAATGTAAGTAGTACTTTTCCGATTGACCACAAGCGTAAGGAGCATCCTTCCCACTGACCTCCAATGTAAGAAGCATTCTTCCCAATGCCACCATGTAAGAGGCTTTCTTCCAATGACCACCAATGTAAGAAGCATTCTACCCAATGATCACCAATGTAAGGAATATTCTTCCCTCTGACCAATGATGTAAGGAGTATCTTTGCCACAGAGCACCAAAGTGAGGAGCATTCTACCCAGTGATCACCAATGTGAGGAGCATGCTTCTTAATGGCCACCAGGCTAGTGTACCGTGAGCTGTAGATATAGTAATTATTGTCAGGAGTTTTCTGAGGACTGAAAGTTTTTTTAAGGGCTGCTCCATGTTAAAAAGGATGAAAAAGGCTGCATTAAAAGATTTAACGAACATCTACAGTATTGGAATTCTGGTCAAGCAAAGTAAGAGGAGACACTGAAACTATGATGGCTCATCTCGAGGTCAATGTCACCTCCAACTTTTCCCTTCTCTGCATAGAAACCACAATGTCCTAACCAGCTCCTGAACCATTTTGTCGTGTCTTGGTCCACCATTTAACTCTAAACCTGAAGGAAGCCTATGGTACTCAGTTCTAACCCCCTATACTCTTCAACATTACAGAGACAAAAAAACCCTCAAATCTGACTAATCATGTGAAAGTGTTTTGTTAGTTCTACTGAGAGGTATTAGTGCTCAAAAGAAATGTACAATTTGGCAAAAATTGTTGGAAAAATCTGTAAAAATAGTCAGTGGATTTGGATAATTAGCATGCCTATAAGCGATGTGATAAAAAAAAACAAGCAATGCAAGTTTTTGATGAACATATTTTGCAGAGAACATGCAAAGACAGGTAAAGCATTATCAAGGTGTGTTGGGTGGTCATACAAAACATTTAAGTTGCCATAGGTAACTATTGTGTGATGGAACACTGATGTGTGAAGACTATCACCTATGATATTCTGAATGGGGTCTATGGCAAACCATAGACTAACATATAAACCCTATCCCACCATCTAACAATGGACCTGTTGGCCATAGACCTCACACAAAACATCTTCACTTCACACAACAGTATTCTGTTACATAATAGGACCTGTGTCAAGAGATAACTTGACTGTCTGTATGACCACCAGGGGCGGACTGACCATTTGGAAACTCGGGCACTGTCCCAAGGCCCGGGGTCAGTAGGGGGCCCCATGAGATGCCCCTGGTACCTTTATCATAGGCTTTTTTGGGTTTGGGCAAGGACACAGGGGCCCCATGATCCCCTATTGCCCGGGGGCCCCATGAGTTGTCAGTCCGCCCCTGATGACCACCCAAAATACTTTGATGAACTAATGTTTGAGATATGTTGGTGAGAATCTTACATCGTTTAGTTTCTTCTGAGCCTGCTCAATGTGAACCATGTCTGGGTCAATATCGGAGAACCAGGATTTTCCTTCTTCATAGGCTTTCTGTAGATAAAGAACATACATTATTGAGTAGAGGATGCACACAGGATCTCCAGGAGATACAGAGATGGGTGGGGGACTCCCAGCATTGAGTGTGCCCAACTAACCATCTTCTCCATGCTGTAGCCCTGTTCATGTACGCTAGACTTCATATCCCAGTTGAAAACCGATTTATAGCGCTCACCTTCTTCCCGATATTTAATCTGTCAAAGCATAAAAATTGGAAAAATAAACATACTAAATCAGAAAGGCTTGTGTACAAATTACATAGAAATGAGGTTTAAAAAACATGAACTCACACAATGATAAGATCCTTTATATCGAAGTTACCCTGTGATTTACCCATAGAGGACTTAGAGCTGAATTCTAGGCACACAAATACAATCATGATATACATAGATGAGAGCTGTATTACCTGTCAGGGGATTTATATTTCTATCCATTCAGTCCGGAGATTTACTCAGCTCTGCCACAAAACATACACCCTGTCTGGCAGGGCAAGGACCTAGATTTTCTCTGCATCATGAAGTAATAATTATTTATTATTAATTATTTATTCCTCCCACAGCCTGTGACTGGACAGTGAAAGAAGAGGGAACACCGATCAGCTCATCTCTTGGTCACTCTGTGTTCTCTTCCTTTAAAGAATATGTCAACCCAACATTTCATATTCGTGATATGTGCCTGCTGTACCATGTGCTTCTATTAAAAAGTATCCTGTTCTCTTTGTATTCCTTTGTGTGAAATCCCAGGTGTTCTGCCAGTCTCTCTGCTTTACTATTAAAAACTGACCACACTAGGCATGAGAGCAAAGTGTGGTCAATTTTCTTGCTGTGCAGGGAACTCAGTGGGGTTTATTTACTAAAACTGCAGAGTGCAAAATCCGGTGCACCTCCACATAAAAACCAATCAGCTTCCAGGTTTTATTGTCAAAGCTTAATTGAGCAAGCTGAAGTTAGAAGCTGATTGGCTACCAGGCACAGCTGCACCAGATTCTGAGTGCACCAGTTTTAGTAAATCTAACACACACACACACACAGCCATTCACTGGGAAGATCAGTTGTGAACAGAGGGAATGTGATCACTTATTAAAGAGGGGGGAAATTAATTGATAATGTTTTTATATGTATACACAAATGTTTTGCCTTTCATTTCTACACGGCTCAAAAAAAATAAAGGAACACGTTTTAATCAGAGTCTAGCATCAAGTCAGTGAAACTCCTGGGATATTGATCTGGTCAGTTAAGTCGCAGAGGGGGTTCTTAATCAGTTTCAGCTGTGCTGGTGTTAATGAAATTAACAACAGGTACACTAGATGGGCAACAATGAGACAATCCCCATAACAGGAATGGTTTTACAGGTGGTGGCCACTGACATTTTTTTCCCTACTCATCTTTTCTGACTGTTTTTCACTAGTTTTGCATTTGGCTAGGGTCAGTGTCACTACTGGTAGCATGAGGCCACATTTGGACCCTACAGAGGTTGCACAGGCAGTCCAACTCCTCCAGGATGGCATATCAATACGTCACATTGCCAAAAGGTTTTCTGTGTCTCCCAGCACAGTCTCAAGAGCATGGAGGAGATTCCAGGAGACAGGTGGTTACTCTAGGAGAGCTGGACAGGGCCTTAGAAGGTCCAGCTGGCCACTGGTGTGAATGTCTCTGACCAAACAATCAGAAACAGACTTCATGAGGGTGGCCTGAGGGCCCGATGTCCTCCAGAGGGCCCTGTGTTCACTGCCCGGAACCATAGAGCTCGATTGGCATTTGTCATTGAACACCAGAATTGGCAGGTCCGCCTCTGGCACCCTGTGCTTTTCACAGATGAGAGCAGGTTCCCCCTGAGCACATGTGACAGACGTGAAAGGGTCTGGAGAAGCCATGGAGAACGTTATGCTGCCTGTAACATCGTTCATCATGACTGTTTTGGTGGTGGGTCAGTGATGGTCTGGGGAGGCATATCCATGGAGGGACGCACAGACCTCTACAGGCTAGACCAGCAATGGGCAAACTACGGCCCGCGGGCTGTATACGGCCCGGCGGACCTTTTAATCCGGCCCGCGGAGCTAGGCTCCCGCTAGGCTCCTCTCACAGTCCGCCCTGAAGACCGGTGTAGCATGAAAATCTGTCTCCTATGAGGATCTGTCCCCCTCGACGTATCTGCGCATGTGCCGGAGATCGCCGATCGGCTGCTAATGCCTGAAACTGGCACATGCGCAGATACGTCGAGGGGGACAGATACTCATAGGAGACAGATTTTCATGCTACACCGGAACGGCGCGGGAATACGGCAAGAGGAACGCGCGGAGCAAAGGTAAGTGAATTGACACAGGGGGGACTTGGGGACTTAATACGGGGGATGAATTAATATGGGGAATGAATTACTATAGGGGGGATGAATTACTATAGGGGGGTGAATTACTATGGGGGATGAATTACTATGGGGGATGAATTACTATATGGGGGATGAATTAATATGGGGTATTAAATACTATAGGGGGGATGAATTACTATAGGGGGGATGAATTACTATATGGGGATGATTTACTATGGGGGATGAATTACAATATGGGGGATGAATTACTGTGGGGGATGAATTACTATGGGGGATGAATTACTATATGGGGGATGAATTACTATATGGGGGAATGAATTACTATGGGGGATGAATTACTATGGGGGATGAATTACTATATGGGGGACGAATTACTATAGGGGGGATGAATTACTATAGGGGGGATGAATTACTATAGGGGGGATGAATTACTATGGGGGATGAATTACTATATGGGGGATGAATTACTATGGGGGATTAATTACTAATATGGGGGATGAATTACTATGGGGGATGAATTAATATGGGGGATGAATTACTATGGGGGATGAATTATATGGGGGATGAATTACTATGGGGGATGAATTACTATGGGGATGAATTACTATATGGGGGATGAATTACTATATGGGGGATGAATTACTATGGGGGGGATGAATTACTATATGGGGGATGAATTACTATATTGGGGATGAATTACTATGAGGGATGAATTACTATATTGGGGATGAATTACTATGGGGGATGAATTACTATATGGGGGATGAATTACTATATGGGGGATGAATTACTATGGGGGATGAATTACTATATGGGGATGAATTACTTTATGGGGGATATGGGGGATGAATTACTATGGGGGATGAATTACTATATGGGGGATTAATTACTATACTATGGGGGAATATTACTATACTTACTATGGATGACACATACACATCATTCATCTACTCTTGGTCCAGCCCCCGGGTCCAATATATGAACCCATTGCGGCCCTCAAGTCAAAAAGTTTGCCCACCCCTGGGCTAGACAATGGCACCCTGACTACCAATAGGTATCGGGATGAAATCCTTGGACCCATTGTCAGACCCTACGCTGGTGCAGTGGGTCCTGGGTTCCTCCTGGTGCATGACAATACCCAGCCTCATGTGGCGAGAGTATGCAGGCAGATCCTGGAGGATGAAGGAATTGATGCCATTGAATGGCCCCCACACTCGCCTAACCTAAATCCAATAGAACACCTCTGGGATATCATGTTTCAGTCCATGCGATGACGCCAGGTTGCACCTCAGACTGTCCAGGAGCTCAGTGATGCCCTGGTCCAGATCTGGGAGGAAATCCCCCAGGACACCATCCATCATCTCATTAGGAGCATTCCCAGACATTGTCAGGAACGCATACAAGTACATGGGGGCCATACAAACTACTGAGGACCATTCTGAGTTGCTGCAATGAAATTTCAGCAAAATGGACTCGCCTGCTGCATCATTTTTTCACTTTGATTTTCGGGGTGTCTTTGAATTCAGTCCTCTGTAAGTCCATCATTTTCATTTCCATCAAACAATGGGGCATCCATATGTTCCTAACACATTACCCATCCATATCAGTATAGAGATCCAGCAGATTTTTCCCCATTGAGATCTGATGTGTTTTCAAAGTGTTCCTTTCATTTTGTTGAGCCATGTATATTAAACTGAATGGGTTGTTTGACAAGGTGAGCGATTACATTCAGTATGCTTTAAACCCTTGGTGCCAACCGAGTCCTGGGCCATTAAGGGTTCTAAAAGCCGGGATGCAGAGGCGGGCATTCGGGTCATCTGACTGTGATTAGCTGTCACAGCAGTCACATGATTGGAAAGCTCCCGATCACAAGCATGCATTGGGTAGCTTACCGATCCCTGCCGGCTGGCGCGCTGGGAGTGTGCAGGGAGTGTGCAGGGAGTGTGCAGGGAGTGTGCAGGGAGTGCGCTCTCCGCATGGTAAGTAGATTTAACAGGGCAATATATATGTGGCCACTCAGCATTAAGGTCCACCTGCGAGTGGCTGCATATATGCGTACAGCCGGTGCCACGAGATTAAGCATGTCCCTTGTTAATTCATGAGCACTGCAGCACCATTGATCCCTGTGCTGCATTTCCCTCTCCCTGTCTGAGCTCTGCTGTACAGTTGCTGCCAGAGGCTGATACCAAGTCAGCTTCAGGTACTTACAATATCGCATTTAAAGAATTTACATTTAATGATGTGTTTATGATTACAAAGATACATTCCTTAGTCCATTTTCTATCTGTCTGGAGGTCTTTAGGCTATGTCCACACCCACAGGCGCAAAAGCGCGTGTGTTCCTGTGCGTCGCAGCCCATTAATTTCAATGAAATGCAGAAAAGAAGCTCCTGACCTTGTGACCAGTCACCGGGACCAAGGGCTCTTCTCCTGCCCCACGTGACCAATCACCAGGACCAAGGGCTCTTCTCCTGCCCCATGTAACCAGTCACCAGGACTGAGGGCTCTTCTCCTGCCCCATGTGACAGTGCTGGATGATAGTGTGATCAGTCACCAGACCCAGTGCTGTCACATGGGAAACACAGAGTCACATGCCCAAGTACAAGGCATTCCTCTTCTTGGTTGGATAGAGCTGCAGGGAGTAAGGAGAAGGTGTGTGCAGTTGGTAAGGACTGAGCTATCTTTGTTCAGGTGTGATCCAGGGTCACCGTCTACTTCTAGGAGGTGCTGGCTCAGAGATGACAAAATTGTGTAAATACCAATGTCTGTGCATTGCTTGGCTGCGCGCAGGGCCACCTCATTAGCACCATGAGCCCTTGGGCAAAGTAACGCACTGGGGCCTCTACCAGTCTGTCCCAATTTACGGACCT